GGGAGGGGGAAAATGAGCAACTGATATTAAGGGCTAAAGTAGAAGGCAAATGTTTTGAGAATGATGAGGGCAACAAATGTACATATGTGCTTGATAAAATGGATGTATGTATGGACTGTGATAAGAATTGTATGGGCCCCTAATAAAATAATTTTAAAAATATATAATCAAGTGCGATTATAAATTAACTTGCGTTAATTTATTAATTTCATTAATTTAAACATAACCAGTAGAAAAAGAGAATATGTGTACATTTGAAATGTTTTCAGAATATAAAACCAGTGTCAATTAAGCTTCTAGATAAAACTCTCTCAGCTATTACATCACAAGTAATTCCAATCTTGTCTCTTAATGATCATAACACAGACAAAAACCAAGATGTATAAAATCTTAACTCAAGCAATATATTTTGAAAAAATAAGTCCAAATACATATGAATTACTTTCAAAATATCGTTGTATCTGTTATTTTGAATCATTCCTCTAAGCAATATGTGTATGCATATAGACGTGTGTATAAATTAACGTGACCAGACGTCCCGCTTTTGAACAATCTTCCCCGCATCCCACAGTTTTAAAAAAGTCCTGTTTTGGAAAGAATGCACGACAAGCTAGGGTATACGGTTTTTGACTGCCATGTGGCTATTTCGCCAGAATATGAGTTTTATCAATGGTGTCCTGCTTTATCAATGTTAAAATCTGGTCACCTTCGTATAAATACAACATATATATATATATATATATAGTGATAATTTCTCAAAATATCTGTAAAATGCAACTCATGGTTACATAATATATGACTTTAATCAGAAAACATTAAACAGGATTTGACTTCACAAACCTCATTTAAGCACCGTTTCTTTGTGAATATATTTCTGATAAAGGTCTCCTGAATTTCCTCCTGTTTTACCAAGTACTGCCAAAGCCTCTTCACAGAAAGTGCCAGGTGGTGTTTGGATCTATGGAGACAGTAAATTTAAGTATATACTTCAAAGATTTCTGATTAACTTGATCACATTTCCTTGAAGCTGTATATAAATGTGCACTTCAGGTTAACTAAAATCAGATCTATCATCATCTTATTTTCCCTGAGGGGTCAGAGAGTAAATATTTTAGACTTTGTGGATCATCTAGCCTCTGTAACAACTCTTCAACTCTGACTGTAGTAGGCAAGTGCCACAACTAATACGCAAGTGAGTGGTTATGGTTGGTAATCTAATAAAACTTTATTTGCAAAGATAGGAGGCAGGATGAGTTTGAATCTCATAGTTTGCTCACCTTAATCTACAGACGTAAGATTTAACATCTATAAGGGGCTTCAAAAACTTGGTGGAAAAATTCCATTAACTTTGGTTCTATTTTTCCATGACATTCTTGAGGTCCTCTTGTAGATATGTTTCCTAGCTGAGATCTAGGAGAGAAGCTACTCAAAGATTTGTATCTGGGCATGTGCTCCATGCTCACTGCCAACTAGTCAATGCCGACTCATAGTGACCCTATAGGACAGGGTAGAAATGCCTTGGTGGGTTCCTGAGGGTGTAACTCTTTATGGGAATAGAAAGCTCTGTCTTTCTCCTGAGGAGCAGCTGGTGGTTTTGTATGGACATGTACCGGTCCACACTTGTACTGCTGCTCAGCAATGAGGTAAGAGCTAATGCAAGAATGTAACTCAATTATGGTCACTAAGCATATTGTTTCCTTCATTTACATTTTTTAAACTTTTAAATAGTTTTATTGGCTCATAACAACTTTGCATATAAAAAATACTCAAAACACTATGCAGTATTAAATCACAATGATCATTTTTACCAGTTAAAACTACCCAGAATATACATTTTTAAACAAAAATTCCATAGAACTTAAATTCTGAAATGACATTACGACTTAAATACTATGACAAAATAGATAATTCCTTATTACATGAATTGCACAGAGTTGCTAGATATTTTCACAAGCATAACCAGTGCAGAATGCAAATGAGCATGATCCCAAAGCTGCACATTGAAGCGAACTGTGCCGCCACCAAAAGAACTCTTAAAATTTGGGCAGCCATCTTCAATCTGATACGCTTTCTTCCTGGCCTTCCCAAGAGAGACAACCTCATTTGCTCTTTTTTTGGAGAAGTATTTTCTTGATGAAGAATTACATATAATGAATTATCTTTTGGTGTCAACTATTTATCTCCTCACTGATAGTTACACAGTGAACAGTTACACAGTTAATAGTACTGATTTAAGGAAAATGTTTTTATACTAAAACCCACTGGCCAAATCTAATAGGCCTCGTGCTTTTGAAAACAGGGTTGTGACTAGGTTGCCTTCACTTCACAAGGGCAGAGCTGAATGATTATGTCGACTTTATGACCTACAAAGCTGTGGCAGTTACATAATTTTGTGTCAAGTTGCAGATACATAAATGTGTAATGGTGTAGTCAACCTATCAATCAGGTCAAGGCCTGAGGGTTTCTCCTTGTGGGCATGGCCTTCTCATTAGGAGGGCCTGGGCAACCTCCCTGCACCCTGCCTTACCCGCTTACTAGCCACCCTGAGAGCTGCCTAAGCCCTGCCAGGTTTCCAACAAGTGTGGAGTCATATGACTTTGCACCACCGGCATGTGATAGTCCTGCCTTCTGCAACCTTGTTTGTGACTGGGGGAGTGGGAAGAGGGACTTATGGACTAGTATTAGACTTATGGGCTTGAGCTGGACTGAGCTGGGATGCTTCCTTGACATATAATTACTTTTAGGTATAAAGCGTTTTCTTGTATCTTATGTGTCTCAACCTAGTCTAACACAAAAGCCTAAATTACTTACTATTGGGCCTTCACAGAAAGCTTGCTAACCTCTGGACTACAATATGTATTACAATTTTATATTGTGCTATAAAAGTCACTTAGAAACACTGCTCATTAATGCACTATCTCTATGATTAGTTACAACCTGGACCATTGTAATACATGTTTCTCATATGTTTAAAAGATGGCAGCCAGAACTTTATTATCTAGTCAATCTTGGTTTATTTTGTCAAACACAGCTAAAAACCAGTTCGATAACTTCAAAAATCCAATGCCATCTTGTCAAGGCTGACGCATAGCAACCCTAGAGGACAGGGGAGAACCGCCTCTCTGAGTTTCCAAGACTGTACCTCTTTATGGGACGATAGGCGACGGTGGTTTCAAACTTCAGACTGTGTGGACTGCAGCCTAATGCGTAACCACTAAGCCACCACAGCTCTTTGGCTCAACAACTAAGCCTCATATAAGCCCTAGAGACAGATGGGTGGTGGCTGTGCTTTAGGTACACTGGGTGGGAAACTAATTAAAGTTTCTTTCATCGAATGTGAGAATTTTAACAATGAACCATCACTATCCCAAATTAATTAAAGGCCTAAATATTTTTACTCTACATAAGACTTGATCACTTTCCTAGTTAACATCCACAGGAAAACTTACTTGAAAGGAGTGTTTGTAGGTTCCAACAAAGCTTTGTGGCGAAGAATTTCAGGACCTGAGGACAACCTTTCTTCAGAGGTATGACTAGAGATATAGTTTTGAGGTGGCCCGCCGTGGATTTCAAGGCGTCGGAGAAGAACTTGTTCCCAACACTGGAGGGTTTTTAGAACTGCATGACAAAGTGGTGAACTCACAGGAAGTTCTAAAATGTAAAAATAAAATTGCCTCATTTTTATTGGTAGTAATAAATACTGTCTTTAGATTTAAGAATGACCCATAAAGATATTAAAACACACCCTTTGGGAGAGGAGATATGGAAAGGGATAAAGACATGAAAATCCAAGGGGTAACTGATCACAGTGATCTATATAAAACCCCCTCCCAGGGAAATGGACAACAGAAAAGTGGGTGAAGCGAGACAGCGGTCGGTATAAGACATGAAAAAAAAAATTTATAAATTGTCAATGATTCATGAGGGAAGGAGGGTGGCTGAGAGGAAAAAAAATGAGCTGATAGCAAGGGCTCAAGTAGAAAGAAAATGTTTTGAAAATGATGGCAACATATGTACAAATGTGCTTGACACAATGGATATATGTATGGATTGAGATGAGAGCTATAAAAGCCCCCAATAAAATGATTTTTTAAAGAGATATGAAAATCCAGGTTTATAAAAATGTCATAAATATATTTAAATTTGAACATAAATAGGTAGCCCAGGCCATTGGAAAAGGGGGCAATCTAAGTAGAAACAAAGAGCCCTGGTGGCCTAGTGAGTTAGGTATTGGGCTTTTCAACTGCAGAGGTCAGCAGTTTGAAGTCACGAGATGCTCAGGGGGAAAAAGGTGAGGCTCTCTTAAATTTACAATATCGGAAACCCTAAGGAAAAGTTCTATTCTGCCCTATTTGGTCACTATGAGTCAGAAGCTACTCCATTGCAATAGGTTTGGATTTTGGGTTTGAAGTAGAAATTACATCCTAATTCGAGTAAATTTATAACTTATAATTTAAATTATTGTTATATCAATGATTTGTGAGTTTAATATGAAAAACACATCTGAAGAACATAAAACAATTTTCATATACATATAAAAACAAGATTTGTTTAAAAACATGAAATAAAATTTAAAACTCGTTTTTAAGTACTACATAATAATTACAAAACTTACTAGTATATAGTCTTATCCCTCACATTCCCGAGTTTTAATCCTATTTTAAACTTTTACCTTTTCCTATTGACCTCCAAATAACCATGCTCATTCTGAGTTCATGATTTTTCTATTTTAGAAAATTCATAAAATTTGAGATTAAACTTCTCCTATCTTCATCATTCTAGATGAAAATTTTTTGGTTAAACTGAAACTTTAGAATTCATTCTAATTATATATGAGTATTAAAATTTCACAGAAAAATTTGACTACATTTTAATTCCATGTTTCCATGAACTTTTTAAAGCATCACTGTGTAACAAAGTACAGTTCGTATCTGAATAACTTGGTATTCAATGTTTCTTTCTTTCCTATCCAATCTTTTACTCCTTTAGGGTTACTAAGTTATTAAGTTTTTACATTGATTTAATATTCTACATATCTAACCCTAATTCATGCCCAATGTTTAATCAGAGTTATAGTGTCTCAGTACAGTCAGTCACTTCAGGCTGAGTCTCCTTGTTTCATTTGACATTGCTATTCTAGAGCACCTATCAGCATGATAAGACACTTTTAAAGGTGGTTGATTTGGCTAAAGGAAACTTATTTTCAACAACAGGATGTCAGTAAATATTTTTCTTCCAATATTAAAAAACAAACAAACATAAAGAGAACTAAATTAAAAGTATGGCAATATTAGGCAATATTAGTTAATTACCTGCGAGATCATGACCTGCAAAGGGATAGAAAGTCTTCAAATTGTTGAGTACCAACTGCACCATCGCTAATCGCATCAAAGACCAACTGAAAATAAAGCAACAGTGGCTCTGTTAAATATTTACTTAAACATTAAAAAGAGTATACTGCCTATTGATCCAACAATTCAACGACTAGGAATCGACCCTGAAAATATACCCCAAGAAAACCAAGATATCTATCTACAGTTACTCATGTTAGCATTATATGCAATAACAAAAGAAGAAAAAAAGTCTCAAAGTATTTGATTTTTATACATTTTTACTTTTGAACCATGTTTTAGGAATTCAAAAAATTAAATTAGGCCAACAGAAAAAATTATATTAACTAAAAATATTGTAATAGCGCTTCCTTTCAATAAAATGTTTCATTCCCATAATATACTTGTTTATTTTGTACATTTCTACCTTTCGTTCACACCATTAACATACTACCTTTTTTAACAAACTACGTCTTAGTAAAATATATATATACCTTTCAAATGCATACAGTATATCAAACAGGTGAGAAAATATCTCATAATTCAGGAATAGGAAGACTGCATTTGAGCTGGGAGTGGATAATTTGTATGGTTATTACATAATATGCAAATAGAGATTTGATAGTATAAATCATTTTATTTGTTAAAGTAAATTAGGTAATCATTTACTGAGACAAGTTTCAATTTAAAAACTAAAATTTCAGGCAGCAGTTTGGAAATTAAAGGTATATAAAATGAACAAATGTAAATAAACTTTGAATTGTGTAACTTAGAATACCAGGTTATACTATCATTGTTTGGTCTACATGTTTGGGCATAAACATCTGGACCTACCAGACGTACAGTTTACAGATACACTTCTATAATAACAGGATTCTATAACACATGTTAGGAAACCTGTTCTCTCTCAGCTACTATAATTGTGAGTACTTTCCAACATAACTTCATATCTTCTTAAAATTACATTTTTATCACTTGTATAATATTGCCATAACCTATGTGATGTGGATAGTATATATAATAATAATTTTTAAAATACCTAGTTTTGGAAAATGTGGATAATGCCAAGATTTCAAACTTGGGTTAGTGGGAAAATGATGGTGTCATCAATAAATTGAAAAAAGTTTAAGGGAGAGGTTTCACTAACCAAATAAAAGGATTACTTAACAATAAAAAGTATTTCCAACCTTCAAGAATAACTCCAATGATGTTAAGTTTCTATTTTATATATAGTTCATGGTTCCTTAAACATCATATAATCCTCTATTATCTGTAGAATGAATTTGGAGACTCCCATGAATATGAGATTACGTAACTTATTTTGTGTGTCTTTGAATTTAGTGAGGAAATGGTCCTCAGCTTTCAGTAGTTCAGAGATAACCTATGAGCACTCTCACCCTAAATTTAAGAACTTTGCTGTAATTATATTTGAATGCTATGAATTATCTGTAGAAAATAAATACTTGACTTTACTTTTCCTCATAAACTTCCTATGCATAAAATGAAATTGCAAATGATTTCTTTTAATCTATATTGTGTAAGGCATTGACACTGTTCATGTTTCCTAAATTTTGTAGTTGGATATTCTGTACAAATAAAGAACAAAATCTTCCAAATCACAAGGAAAACACTGAGACTAAAAGCTGAATTCAGAGTATATATAAAAGTTCCATTAATAACAGCATACTCTGGAAGATCCTTACGTATGCTGTATGTTATGCACCAGGTAAGCCTGGAGATACCAGTCACATTGTAAAAACAGTCCCTTAAGTTCTGTTGTCTTCATGCTAAATATGTTTAAGGAACACTAAATCTTCAAATTACTTTCTAAATGATTCCTAATGTACACTAGTGTATTTGTAGCAATATGGCAGTCTTTTTAAACTTAGTACTTATTTACTGATATCGTCCCGCCCCGCCTCCCCACTTCCTTTCCTTTGTTTTTCTTATTAAATACTTTTATTGGGGGCTCTTATATCTCTCATCACAATCCATACATTCATCCATTGTGTCAATCACATTTGCACATATGCTGCCATCATCATTTTCAAAGCATTTTCTTCCCACTTGAGCCCAATACCAGCTCCCCATGTCTTCTCCCGCCCTCCCTCCCTCGCGAACCTTTGATAAATTATAGACTATTATTTCCATATCTTACATCATCCTTCGTTGCCCCTCACCACTTTTCTGTTGTTCATCCCCCTGGGAGGGGGTTTTAATCTTGATCCTTGTGATTGAGATTCCCCTTCTCCACCCACTCTCCCCTAATCCTCCTGATATCTCTACTCTCCACGTTTGCCCTGAAGGGTTTATCTATCCTGGATTCCCTGTGTTGCAGGCTCTTATCTGTAACAGTGTGCATGTTCTGGTCTAATCCGATTTGTAAGGCAGAATTGAGGTCATTATAGTGTGGGGGTAGGAAGCACCAAAAAACTAGAGGAAAGTTGTGTGTGTTTCATCAGTGCTATACTGCACCCTGACTGGCTCATCTCTTCCCTGTGACACCTCTTTGAGGGGATGTCCAATTGTCTACAGATTTGCATTGGGTCTCCACTCCATGCCACCACCACCCCAATTCACAGTGGGTATGATTTTGTTCTGAGTCTTCGATGCTTCTTCCATGTAGGTTTTGATTCTCAGCTAGATGGCCACTTGTTTATCTTCAAACCTTTAAGACCCCAGATACTATATCTTTGATAGCTAGGCACCATCAGCTTTCTTCACCACATTTGCTTATGCACTCATTTTGTGTTCAACAATTGTGTCGGGAAAGTGAACACTATAGAATATCAGGTTATTGGAACAAAGTTTTCTTGTGTTGAGGGAGTACTTGAGTTGAGGCACAATGTCCATCTGCAACCTTAATTCTTAACATAACTTACCGATATCTTTTTTTTTTAAGTCATTTTATTGGGGGCTCATACAACTCATCACAATCCATACATAATCAATTGTATAAAGCACATTTGTACATTTGTTGCCCTCATTATTATTATTATTTTTAAAATTATTTTATTGAGGGCTTGCATAATTCTTATCACAGTCCATACATACATCCATTGAGTCAAGCACATATGTACACCTGTTGCCCTCATCAATCTCAAAACATTTGCCCTCTACTTTAGCCCTCAATATGATTTGCTCATTTTTCTCCCCCCTCCTCCCTGAACCCTTCATAATTCATAAATTATTATAGTTTTGTCATAAGTTACACTGTCCGACGTCACCCTCCACCCTTTTCTCTGCTGTCCACCCCCCAGGGAGGAAGCTATACTTACATTCTTGTAATTGGTTCCCCCCTTCTACTCCACATTCCCTTCACCCCCCCAGGCCTTGCCCCTCTCATCACTGGTCCTGAAGGAGTCATCTATCCTGGATTCCCTGTGTTTTAAGTTGCTTTCTGTACCAATGTACATCCTCTGGTCTAGCCAGATTTGCAAGGCAAAATTGGGATCATGATATTGGAAGGGAGGAAGCATTAAAGAACTAGAGGAAAGTTATACGTTTCATCGTTGCTACCCTGCACCCTGATTAGCTCATCTCCTCCTCAAAAGCTTACTGATATCTTAAAGTATTAGTGTTCTACTGAAAAGACATTAATTGGATTTTCTATGCTAAACAATGGGGCTTATCTTTAAGGTGCAAATGGCATAATATAATCTCATACCACAATCTGTGTGGAAGGACACAACTTATAGACTATTTACTTAGATAATCAAAATGTAATAGTGATTATTTAAAAGGAAAAGAAACACATTTCACTAAATAAAGTAGTTTAACTTAGAATGCTATAATTAAAACTATTAATTTCACATGTATTGTTTTTTAAATTATTATTTATACATATAAACAATGATAAAGTATTTCATTTAAGACACTCAAATTCCATACCTATATGAGTTTGAGTTTGAATGCTCTTGGAGATGGAAATCTGATGATAAAGTATCATCATCATCGTCATCACTTTCCAGACTCTCCTCTGAATCATATTCTGCTCTACTTTGGGAAGGGGGTAGAAATGGCTAAAATGAAAAATAAAAATATTACAGATGTATCACAAAATATATGATTTAATCCATTCAAGTATATGCATAATAAAGCAATTCATCCTATTTATATTTATGTTTCCTAAAGTAGATTATTTTTATGGTCAGTCACTCTGTGCTTTATTCATCCACAAAACAAAAAGTCATTAAACGCTCACAATATGCCAAAGAGAATATATGGACAAAAGAATTTTACAAAGGATAAAGATGGTACTTACATTTTAGTGGAAATGATAAGTAACTGGAAACCAAATATAAGACATATTAAGTGTGATAAAAGAGATAGCTGAGTCATGGGTCATGAAATGCCTCTTTGAAAAGTGGCATTTCCAGACTCAATCCAGGAATAAATATGGCACAGAGGAACAGGGTACTAACCCGCCCATGGGAAGGTGTTGTTTATATCTTCACAGGGGAGGGAGAGATGGACCAGAGTTTACACCTGTGAGCCAAGACGTGACTGCATCATACTGGCATGAAGCAGGGAACCAATAGAGAGGTCAGCGGCGCCAGCCCAATCCCTACAATGTAGACAGTCCCTCCTCCCCCAGAATAATTCACTTCAGAGGACAGCACTGAGCTACAGCTCAGGGAAAGGGACATGTCTGATCAGAGAACATAGGAGCAAATGACGGGGGAGGGAGAGATAGTGGAACCCATCCTGTCCCACCAAGCCCTGAGGACGATATTCCTGCTCAGAGCAGCCAATGCACAGAGAGGACCATAGGGTCGGCCCCACCACAAGACACCATGTCCCTCACTGACCCATAGCACTATGAGGGACAACACTGGAGGCACAGTGCGGGAATTGTGCCTAATCTGACCCCACCACACCGAGGTGAAATGCTAAGGGTGTGCAACAGAGTGGCAAGGTAAGCAAAGCAATGAAGTCCCCGGGGAATACCAAAAATAGACATTGGGGACAGGGAATGGCACCCCATCAGAGTGGACTGGAAAACACTCTTAAAGGTTAGCAAACAGATTTGGAACTATTTATAGGCTTTTCTTTTTGGTTGTTGTTGGGTTTTTGTTATTTTGTTTGATTTTGCTGTCTTATTTTTCTGATTATTGTCTCTGCAATGTCTGCCTAAACAAGATAGGAGGGATAAACAATCCAGAGGTGAAAACAACAGGACCAACAGTTCTGGAGGGGCATGGGTGAAGGGGAGGAGGGGGAAATGAAGTGTGTTAAAAAACCCAGGGACAGAGAACAAAAAGTGATCTAAAATCGATGGCAAGGAGGGTGTAGCATGCCTGGTAGGGCTTGATTAAGGGCAAGGTAACTGAGAGAAATTACTGAAACCCAAGTGAAGGCCGAACTTGACAGTGGGACAAGAGGAAAGTAAAATGAAATAGAGGCAAGCACTAGGAAGCAAATGGGCATTTACAGAGCTCTAAAACCAGGCATATACATATGTAAATATATTTATATATAACGATAGGGAAATAGATCTATTTACATATATTTATATATTAAGCATTAAGATAGCAGACAGACATTGGGTCTCTACTCAAGTATGCCCTCAGTACTTGTACTCCCCACTAGAACACTTTGTACTAATAACCTGTCATTTCGTGATGCTCAGCTTACCCTGACCTGATCGCTGAAGATGGTGCATAATGCGTGTGAGTTAGTTAATTGTGCCAGCCTGGCCGATAATCAAATGTGGGGCTGGTTGAAAGGCGGAAGGATAAATGGGTGGTGAAGCCTCGCCTTTCTAGTTCTCGGGTCTCTTGTTTTGTGATGGTTGTATCGGGTGCAGCTGCCTTAGCAGTTCCCTGCTTCAGCTTGCAAGATTGACTTCCTCCAAGACATCCCCAAGGAGAAGTGGCATGGATCTATCCCGATGCAGCCCTGGGTGCAGGAGCAGCCGTGTGGAGACCCTTGCCAGTGCTGAGATGCTTACACGTTCACGGACTCAGCTTTCCTCCTGCAGTTGGCATCATTGCCTCTGTTTTGTGAGGTGGAGGACTTTGTGGACTGGTGTTGGGTTAATGGGTTAATGTTGGACTTGTGGGCTTGGGCAGCATTGGGTTGGGATGTTTTCATGATGCACCTTTTCTTTACATAAAACTCTCTCTTATACGTGAGTAGTCGTGGATTTGTTTCTCCAAAGTACCTAGACTAATACAGGGTGCATAAGCAAATGTGGTGAAGAAAGCTATCAAAATGTGGTGCCCAACTATCAAAAGATACAGTGTCTGGGTCTTAAAGGCTTAAAGACAAACAAGCGGCCATCTAGGTGAGAAGCAACAAAGCCCACATGGAAGAAGCACAGCAACCTGTGTGATCATGAAGTGTCGATGGGATCAGGTATCAAGCATCAAAGACCCAGAACAAAAAAATCATATCAATTTTAATGAGGGGGGATGCAGACTGGAGACCCAAAGTCCATCTGTACACAATGGGACATCCCCTTACAGAAGGGTCACAAGGAAGAGATGAGCCAGTCAGGGTGCAGTATAGCAATGATGAAACATACAACTTTCCTCTAGTTTTTAATGCTTCCTTCCCCCACTATTATGGCCCCAATTCTACCTTACAAATCCAGCTAGACTAGAGCATGTACATGGGTACAGATAAGAACTAGAAACACAGAGAAACTACAGTTAAACCTCTCGGGACCAATAATGAGAGTAGTGATGCCAGGAGGGTAAAGGGAAGGTGGAGGGAAAAGGGGGGAGGTGATCACAATGATCTACTTATAATCCCCTCCCTGGGGAATGGACAACAGAAAAGTGGGTGAAAAGATATCAGTCAGTCTAAGACATGAAGAAATAATAATAATTTATAAATTATCAAGGGTTTGTGAGGAAGGGTAGGAGAGGGAGGCAAAAAAACATAGGAAGCGATACCAAGGGCTCAAGTAGAAAGAAAATGTTCTGAAAATGATGATGGTAACAAATGTACAAATGTGAATGACACAATGGATTTAAGCACGGATGGTGATAAGAACTGTACGAGCCACCAATAAAGTGATTTTTTTTAAGTGGCATTTATGTAGAAAAAGACTTACAGGACAAAGATGAATAAGCCATATAAGAAGATAGAAGAAAACACATGTAGATAGTGAAAATAAGATTAAGAAAAGTTCTAAAATGAAAAGAAATTGGTGTAAACAGTTTGACTCAAATCTACTAAGAAAATTTGAAGACAATGGCATAAGACAGTGCCTTGTGAATCATGGTGAGGAGTGCAATGGACTTCTTCCAATTTGTTTTAGGTAAAAGACAAGTATTCAGGTTTATAGTTTACCAATACTACTGTGACCACTCTGAGCTGACAGAAAAATCAAATGGAAAGAATGAAAATAAAGAGGTGAACAAGACCAGAAATGACAGCCTAGACACAGGTGTTAGCGATAGACAAGAATAACAGACTCAAGGTATGTTTTTGAGAGAGCATTGACAAAATTTACTTATAGATTTGGGGAGTAAGGTTAAGTGAGAAAAGAAATAATGATTTCTGAATTGTGGGCTCAAGCAACTCTAAGGATGATTAAGATGTCATTTACTAAAATACAAAGATTTGGGGGTAAGATGAAGATCTGGGGGAACACAAATCCAAAAGCTGGAATCTGAATGAGACCACGATTTAGAAGTGTTATATAAACAAATTTAAAAAATGAGCTCTATGTACTGGCTCTGGGTTGTTTTTTCTTCATGGAAAACTGAGGCCTCTTAATCTAAAAGGCATTCCAGCACCAAATTCAAATTTACACACATCTGATGGGTTTACAGAGTTCAAATTAGCTAATTTTTAGTTACTTGGAACCTGCCTACTTCACATTTCTGACACATCCATGCTGGGGTTGTTAGTTGCCATTGAGACTGTCCTGACTCACAGCAACCCTACATACAACAGAATGTAACCCTGCTAGCCCTGACCCCTCACAACCATTGCTGTGGCTGACGGCTGAGCGCCCTTCTTCAGCCACTGTATCAAGCCATCTGCTTGGTATTCTTTGATTTTTTCACTGATGCTCTACTTTTGCAAGCATGACACCCTTCTCTAGGGACTGGTCTCCCTGAACAGGTGAGTTGAAGTCTTGTCATCTTTGCTTCTAAGGAGCACTGTGCCTGCACTTCTCCCAAGACAGATTTGTTTATTCTTCTGGCAATCTATGGCATATTCAGTATTTTCACCAGCACCCAATGTGTGCTATATCTGGAGTCTTTTAAATGAAAGAAATGTCAGCATTCCAGTCAGCCATTTGAATTTCAGTTCCAGTGTTTTACTTTTTATTCCATTTTTGCTGGCCATTTGCTTTTTGAGATTATCTAATTTTGTAAAATGTTATATATATGGGTTTATCACCCGGAGACAAGAAGTAAAGATAACTACATACTTTATGGTTAATGTGTGAACCGGTGATGTACAATCACCACTGCCATTCTACTTTGAAAGAAGTGACACTATTGCACCTTTTATTTAGGTAGTGAATTGGAGACTAGAGAAAACTAGCAGGAAAGCTTTTACTTCATGAGTTTTTTGCTGTTATCACTGCTATTAGTTGCTGTTGAGTAGATTCTGTCTGACTCATGGTGACTCTGTATGCAAAGTAAAATGGATACATGCAGTTTTGAAAAGACTGTGGCCTTGCATACACAGATTGCCAGACCAGTCCTTGCAGGCACCTTTGAGGCAGCTTCAATAGCCAACCTTTTGATAAATAGCTGGGTGTTTTAAGTGTTTGCTCCATTCAGGGGCTCTTTTATATGCTACTTACATTTAACATAGTAACTAAAATGTTATTAGGGGAGGGGACTGGGGTTATTCACCTAAACAGCAGTCAAGTGACTGTGTGCAAATTGCAAATATGCAAAGAAAGGACCGCCTGAGATAACGAAAAAGGAATGAAAGAGTATAGATGACCAGGATACTTTAACTTCTGCCACTCTGGATTTCTTCAACTACTATCAAGTACATTAACATTATATTTAATCAAGCTAACCATTTTGTTTAAATTGTGAAATTCTTAATTTCTCAAAGAACTGCATGAAAAACTGGTTGGAAATATGGCAAAACATATTTCATGACCTATTTTCTTTGAATGCAATCTGATGAAAATATACAAAATTTCTAAATAAAAATCAAATAAATATTTGGAAATGCCAAAAGTTACACTTAGTACATGCATTACCTTGGCTATGAAATAGTCCCAGATACTGAGCTCGGGTGGGATGAACTTCTCTTTCACTGCTAGTGACTCCTGGATGACTGGTGGGGAAGCAGTTTCTCTGCAAGACATTTTTGATGGCCTAAATGGTTTGTTCTGTTTCTCTCCTTCTTCCACTAATGAGGAAACTAACAACAACAAAATAAAGTATTATAAAATTAAATACTATTTTCATGGGACATATTATATTTGCCTTTATGAAAGATCTAAAGTTAACTACAAATTAAGTATATAAAAAGAACGTGATTCCTATTAGAAAAGCAATAAGTAAATAAACATCCCTGCACATATAACAATTTCCTCTTTAATATCAACTTGTCCCTCACTTCCTGAATGCTGATTTACGCATTATGTATTTAGCATACTAAGATGAAATATTTCCCTATAAATCAGTCTAGAAGGTAGCTAGGAAAATGTTCTACATTTGTTTTAAAAAATATGTATTGTGGATGTTGATGCTAATTAAAAAGCAACAACTCACTTATGAGATTCTCCAGTGATTCCTTGGCCTTTTTTATATCAAACTATATTTTTCATTAGGTAATATTTTAAAAATTCAAGCACCATACCCATTTAATTAAGCTGATACATTCTTTTGGAAATGTCACTAAGATGCTATTTTCTGGACAATGGAATTATAAAGAAGAGAGAGAAAATATGAAAACACTTAGCAGCTCTTCAGTATTTTCTTAGAAAACAGCTAACAAATTTTTTATAAGTTATACACAAATTCATAAGATGCAAATCATCAGTAGGAAATCAAGGATTTTCCAAACATAGACATTGTCTAATAGAAAAGCAAACAGCTTTATATAGGAAGGCAGACCACTATCTTCCAGTAATCATTGCACAGAAAATTTACTTACCTTCCAATGGAATGCAAATATTTGTGCTTTAATATAATTTTGTTTTATTATTTAAAGCTGCTCAGCATGCACATGCATTATATCAAGCTTCCAGTCAAGCTGAGTTTAACTTAGTTTTTACATTAAAAATTTAATTTTAACAAAACCTAATATTCATAATCGAAGTATTACTATTGCTACGTCTTTTCAAATGACTTTGAGAGGAATTGTCAGATAAAATGTTCATTCATTTTAGTTTTGAAAATTAAAAAGTCTCCAACTTATCTGCTACATATATTGGGAAAGAGGGCAGACATTTCATGGAAAAACTCCATTAGCCTCCTTATATTTACACACACCAGGAGACTTGAAATCAGTGGTTTCATCCAGTGAAACATATATTTACCTTTCAAAAATCAATGTTAAAGTTTAAGAAATGTATCACCTGATTTTAATATTATTCTTTTACTTCTTTTGTTCTTAGATTACTATAACTTAGGAGCATTGAGAACCTCCAAGAAAACTTACTTGTAATCCTGGACTAGTGGATTTTGAACAAATTATTTTATAATTAAAAATAATTTTAAAAGCAAAATATAAGAGGGTTTTCAAAAACATAAAATATTTGAATGTACAGTCTGTGAATCCAGACACATGACATGAGGTTAAAAATAAAACAACGATATTGAGGGGAACATGTTATCAAAATTTTTTGTTCATAATCCATCCAACAGGCAAGAGATAGCCTCTTTTAAAATATGGTGGTGGCAAACAGATATTCAGGTGGAGAAAAATGAAACAGGATCCACACCTGACACGATACACAAAAAGTAACTCAAAATGGACCTAAGACCTAAATGCTAACCCTAAACCTATAAAGGACTGGAAGATAACAAAGGGACAAAGCTAGATGTTCCACATTATGGCACAAATACAAACTTCAAGTTCTGAAATTGTAGAGGTTACAAAATACAGTAAAAATTATTCTGATAAAATAAAAAGATATGTTTTGCTGTGCAGCAGGTAATAAAAAGCAAATATGGATTTCTAACTGTTAACAGGAAATAAGAGTAATTTAAAAATTACTACAGCTCAGCCAATATTGAGCTTTAAAAAGTAACCTTAGCAAAAAAATTAGGAGCTGATACCAAGGGCTCAAGTAGAAAAAAAATGTATTGAAAATGATGATGGCAACAAATATAAAGATGTGCTTGACAAAATGGATGTATGCATGGATTGTGATAAGGCTGTATGAGCCCCTAATAAAATGATTTTAAAAATTAACCTTAGTGGCAAAAATAATTTAAATCGCACATGCACACCAAACCTATACTAGTTTTATTAATAAGAAACATCAGTCTTTATTGAGAATACATATAATGGAGTACTACACATCCCTAAAAAGTAATGATGGTGAAGAAAGCTGATGGGGCCCGGCTATCAAAAGATATAGTGTCTGGGGTCTTAAAGGCTTGAAGGTAAACAAGCGGCCATCTAGCTCAGAAACAACAAAGCCCACAGGGAAGAAGCACAGCAGCCTGTGCAATCACGAGGTGTCGAAGGGATCAGGTATCAGGCATCATCAGAACAAAAAATCATATCATTGTGAATAAGGGGGAGTGCGGAGTCGAGACTCAAAAGCCATCTGTAGGCAATTGGACATCCCCTTATGGAAGGGTCACGGGGAGGAGATGAGCCAGTCAGAGTACAGTGTAGCAAAAATGAAACATACAACTTTCCTCTAGTTCCTAAATGCTTCCCCATCCCTGCCCCCCAACCCCCGACTATCATGATCCCAATTCTACCAGAGGATATACACTGGTACAAATAGGAAATGGAAAACACAGGGAATCCAGGACAGATGATCCCTTCAGGACCAGTGGTGAGAGTGACGATACTGGGAGGGTGGACGAGGGTAGGGTGGAAAGGGAGAACCGATTACAAGGATCTACATATAACCTCTTCCATGGGGGATGGACAACAGAAAGTGAGTGAAGGGAGATGTCGGACAGTGTAAGATATGACAAAATAATAATTTAAAAGTTATCAAGGGTTCATCAGGGAGTGGGAAGCAGGGTAGAGGGGGAAAATGAGGAGCTGATGCCAGGGGCTTAAGTGGAGAGCAAATATTTTGAGAATGATGAGAGCAATGAATGTACAAATGTGCTTTACACAATTGATGTGTGTATGGATTGTGATAAAAGTTGTATTAGCCCCTAATAAAATGATTTTTAAAAAAAACAACCAACAAATACCTACCCCCCCCACCCACCCACAAAAAAAAAGCAGTAATGAACGCATGAAGCACATCGCTGCATGGCAAGAACTGGAGGAAATGATGCTAATCGAAGTAAGCCAACCACAAAAGGACAAGTACAACATGAGTCCGTTGAGGTAAGCTTAAAAAAAATGCAAAAGGGGCATAGGGGAAAAGCTACTGTACACAAACATTCCTGGGGTGAGGTTCAGGTAGTATGGCAGAGGGCCAGACCAAATCCAGGGGTACATATGGTAGCCAACTAAAAAGGAGGGGGGGAAAAGAAAAGAAAAAATAAAGACATGGGTAGTTGGGGAACAGGGCACTAACCCACCCAAGAGAAGGGTACTGTTTATATCTCCACAGGGAAAGAGGGACCAGACTTCAACCTGGTGCCCTAAGATGTGTATGCAACATAATGGCATGAAGCAGAGAACCAATAGAAAGGTCTGAGGGGCCAGCCCAAATCCTAATTACGTGGACAGCCACCTCTCTCCCCAGAAGAATTTACTTCAGAGGACAGCACTGAAGCTACAGCTCTGGGAGAGGGACATGTCTGATCAGAGCACACAGGAGCAAATGAAGGGGGAGGAAGAGAGAGTGGCACACACCCTGGCCCACCAAGCCTTGAGGGTGACATTCCTGCTCAGAACCACCAATGATTACAGAGGACCATAGGGCCAGCCCCACTATGAGACATGACATCCCTCACTGACCATAACCCTATGGAGGATAGCACTGGAGACAAAGCATGGGAACTGTACCCGATCTGACCCCACCACACCGACAAAACACTAAGGGTGTGCAACAGAACAGCAAGGGGAGCAGAGCAAGGAAATCTGAGAGAATACCAAAAATAGACTTTGGGGCCAGGGTGTGTCACCTCAACAGATCCAACCGGAAAATACTCCTAAAGGTCAACAAACAGACCTTGAACTATTTATAGGCTTCTCTTTTTCTTGTGGTTGGTTTTTAGTTGTTGTTGTTTTGTTTTTCTTTGTTGCTTTGTTTTGCTTTTATTTTTTATGCATATTAACTCTGCAGGTCTATCTAGATAAGCGAGATAAACAATCTGGAGGAGAAAACAACAGCTCTGATGGTTCGGGGGCGGGGGGCATGGGAGCAGGGGTAGTAGGGGAAAGGAAGTGGTGTTAACAAACCCAGGGACAAGGGAACAAGTGTTCCAAAATCGATGGCAAGATGGGTGTGGGAGGACTGGTAGGGTTTGATCAAGGGCAATGTAACAGAGGAATTACTGAAACCCAAATGAAGGCTGAACATGATAGTGGGGACAAGAGGAAAGTAAAAGGAAACAGAGTAAGGAACGAAGAGGCAAAGGGCATTTATAGAGATCTAAATACAAGTATGTGCATATGCAAATATATATATGGGGATGGGGAGATAGATTTATGTGCATATATTTATAGGTTTAGTATTAAGGTAGCAGAGGGACATTGGGCCTCGACTCAAATACTCCCTCAATGCTAGAAATGCATTCCATGATGCTCACCTTCCCAACAGGATTGCTGAAGACAAAGCAGGTGCATAAGCAAATGTGGTGAAGAAAGCTGATGGTGCCCGGCTATCAAAAGATATAGCATCTGGGGTCTTAAAGGACTGAAGATAAACAAGCAGCCATCTAGCTAAGAAGCAACAAAATGCACATGGAAGAAGCACACCAGCCTGTGTGATCACGGGGTGTCAATGTGATCAGGTATCAGAGAACAAAGAACAAAAAATCATACCATTGTGAATGAGGGGGAATGTGGAGTGGAGACCCAAAGCCCATCTGTAGGCAACTGGACATCCCTTTACAGAAGGGTTGCAGGGAGCAAATGAGCCAGTCAGGGTGCAGTATAGCACCGATAAAACATACAACTTTCCACTAGTTCTTTAATGCTTCCTCCTCTCCAGTGTCAAATTTGGCTAGACCAGAGGATATACACTGGTACAGATAAGAACTGGAAACAGAACCCAGGAAACCCCTCCGGAACAATAATGAGAGTAGTGATACCAGCAGGGGAAGGTGGGGTAAAAAGGGGGAACCGATCACAAGGATCTACATATAACACCCTCCCTGGGGTACAGACAATAGAAAAGTGGGTGAAGGGAGACAGTGGGCAGTATAAGACATGAAAAAATAATAATAATTTATAAATTATTAAGGATTCATGAGGGAAAGAGGGTGGGGTGGGGTAGGAGTGGGGGGAAATCAGGAGCTGATACCAAGGGCTCAAATAGAAAGAAACTGTTTTGAGAATGATGATGGCAAGAAATGTACAAATGTGTGTGACACAATGGAGGGATGGATGGGTTATGATAAGAGTTGTACTAGCCCCCAATAAAATAATTTTTAAAAGAAAAAATTTAAATATTCTAATTAAATATCACTTGCTTTACAGGTTTATGTACAGAATCGCCTATTTATTTACAGTAATTCTTTTGGGGGGGTTACATTAATTCTTTTTGTCAATAACTCCGATCTGCCAAGACTCAGTCTAATGAAAATTATTTTACTAATTAAGCTACATTGAAATGTTCCTTTATTCAAAATTAGCATATAAAATATATAATAAGTTATACAGAAATATATAGTTTAGTTGACAATTATTGCAAAGAAAATTAAAATCAGAATTTCTAGCAGATCAAGGAAAACGTACGACTTTTAAAATCCTCTAACACAACTATCTTTATGCAAACATTGTTTAGATAACAGGTTTAAAGTTCTAAACACTTATTTCAGTAATGTGCAGTATATTTTGACATTGATTGAATTGTCAGGTAAATAAATACTTTATACATTTGTTCAATGTAAGTTGGAACAGATGCGTATGATTTTTATTTAGCCTCTTAGGAGGACTGGTGGCACAGTGGGTTACACATTGGGCTGCTAACCACAGGTAAGCAGTTCAAAGTCATATACTTATGTATGGAAGTAAGATGAGGTTTTCTATTCCCATAAAGATTTATAGTCTTGGAAAACCAGTGACCGTTTTATTCTATTCTATAGGGTTGTTGTGAGTTGGAATTGACTGATGGCAGTGAGATTTATTTTTTACTGCTACAAAAAGCCCTGGTGGCACTATGGGATCAATGTTGCACTGCTAACTATAGGTCAGTGGATCAAATCCACCAGCTGCTCCGAGGCAGAAAGACGAGACTGACTACTCCCATAAAGATTTAGTCTCAGGAATCCTACATAGCCACTGTGAGTCAGAAATGACTCAATGCCAGTGGGTATGGCTTTGGGTTAGTGCAAGAAAAGGCCAAAAGTCTTTTTAATGATTTAAAAGTAAAGTGATGATTGTAATTGTGGTGAAGAATTTGTTGTAAACTGGGATTGGTCAATCATTGCAAAGTAAGGGCAAATTTACATAACATCAAAAGGCAAGTATGTATTGTCTCTAAGTCCAAAGTTTGTAAGCCCTGGATTTACAGCACTAACCATAATAAAGTTATGAATCTTACGCCCCATAGACTTTTAGGATTTTTCTTTAGTTAAATTTAGAATCTAATGTTTCATATGAAGGTGGTCTTCTTTTTAAGTTAAACTTAAAAAAATAAAATAAAGCACAGCTAATTCTTTAAAAATCACAAACGTATGGCACAATAAAATATTAAAAAGCTTGAGAATGTAGATTTTCACTTGAAATTTATAAGGATAAAAGGTAGAAATGAAATAAATTTAATTTAGAGCAATGGAAAAGGGCCAGGGACCTACAACTGTATTGTAAATCCGTCCAGCAGATGAAGACCAGGCAGGATGGTTTCAAGTGTTTAAAAGAAGACATATTAGCAAGGTGCATTTTCAGTAGTTTACAGCAGTCAAAAATGAATTAGCTCACTCCTACCTGTGTCAAGAATGTCAGGGGCCAAGGCAGGGAAATTTATAATTCTTTCCTTCTAATGTCATTGTCTTAAAGTACTCTTTCCCGGAATGTCAACATAATGCTAATATTGACTTGTTCTTAACACCTGCATTCCTTTTAATAGGAACGGCAATACAATGTCTCAAATTGGGCAATGTTAAACAGTATTTACTTTTAGTGTAAATTATTGCCTCTTTTTCTGAAGAGCATTTTATCGGAGCATTTAACGGTTATGCTCATTTCTCTTCATCTTGTCAACGGTAGCTAGTGGGTTACAATGCTACCTTCTAAGTTATAAATTGAATTTGTTTTATTTTAAGTACTAAACATAAAAATCTGACACCGAATCCCTGTTTGTCTGGGGTGGGATTTGGGTGGAGAGGTGTAGGAGAAGCTAGCTAGTTTAGAAAGTGTGTCCTGGAAATGAATGATTTCAAGCAAATGGAAAAAGTAGGAACTAAGTTAACTTGGTTTTGTTTCATAGTCCGGGCTACATCTTACTGAAAACTAGTTTTTAGTACAGAAAGTATAGAAGCACTAGGTAATATGAAGGAACTGAATTAAATTTCATAAAGAGATCAATTAACCTGTTGGGTTTCTAAAATATGTATATAAATACCTTACATTTTGAAAGGTATTTAAATTTTTTAAAACTTCTTTAATATGTCAGTATTGAATGAATGTGGCTCTCAGTTATATCTATTAATCCTTAAGTCTACACTTCTTTAACCTCAAATTTGAAAACCAAGATAATTGCATATTTGCTACTAAGTTGCAAAAAGAAAATTTAACAGAAAGGCGGAGCACATAATGATATTTTTCCAGGCAAAAATATATAATGCTCCTATTTTAAAATTAGTACAGTACATATAGCTTAATATTAGAATGTATTAAAATATGGACACAATGGTAGAAATCTACTTTAATATCATCATAAACACTTAGAAATCCAAAGACCCTAATGGCCAGATTAAGCAAATCATAAAGCAGCTTCAAATGAAATGACTTTCTGTTCATTTCAAGCAATAGTCTGTTTAGCATGATTAAGCACTGACTTCTTTATTTTTGCATATTAAAAAAGATATTAAAATCTGAGGGAAAATATTAAAACCAAGCAATTTAAAGGCATATTTACTATAAAATAGTAAACATGGTCTAACAAGATGCTAATCATTCACTTAAATCAATAAAATGACTTCATTAAAGAAAATGTCTCATTACTTTATAAATGCCAAACAAAATAAAATTGAACCAGTTGTATCCCAACCCCTCCACACCAGCATAAAGCAAGCTGAACTATAAAAGCCTATTTCTAAATCTAGTATCTTGCCTGCAAGACTGGGAGGGCTATGAGAACTGATGGCTGAGAGAGCTTTGGAAAAGCCCACACACTCCATGGAGAATACCACTACCTGGTGGGGGCTAGGCATAGCAAAGTGCCTTCCTGCCAAAGAAAGAAGAGAAAGTCTGTATTTGGGATAGAACAAAAACCAGTATAACAATGTATTTCAAAGCAAATAAAAATTTCAATAATAAAAGATTTTAAAAACTTACATTAAGTTTAATCATTGATATGTTGAAACAGACTGGTGCATGAGTATCTTAAGGTTAGAGATTTGCACCAGAAACTTTATATATTGCATTTTCAGTGCAAAACTATTTAAGAAAATGGTCTATAACAAGAACTTTAGAACAGTAACTAAATTAAATGTAATTACAGTTGAAAAAATGATTCTTCACAGGAATAAAATTTCAGTCTTAAAGCAAACCAAAACAATCCAAAACAGGTAAAAAGGTTTAACACTAACCAGTTAAAGCTTTTGAATGTGCCTGTTCTTTGCTGGGAATATGTGCACCTCCACCAAATACAGCAGACCACATTTTTTCATTGAGAGGATGAGCCACAATCCGAAATAGCTCATTACTAGAATGTGTCGCCAGGCCATGGATGAAGAGACTAAGATAAACTGCTGTGAGAATCTCACAGAGCAAAACTGTAAGCCCAGGGTGGGCTTCCTCACCCGAAGAATTCAAAAGTCGAATTAGAGAGGTTATTCCTACAATATGCAACAAAAAGAGCAACATTCAATAATAAATTTTAAAAATAAATAACTACATTTCCAATTCTTTGAAATAATTACCACTTTGGGATTAAACATGTCCTTTCTTGGATTCATAACCAGGGAAAACAATTATAGCCAATCAACAAATGCTAAGCCATAGGAACCCAACTTAAATTACTAATTCAAAATGTCATGACAAAAAAACTCACTGCTGCAACTAAAATAAATAATATTTATAAAACCGCAATGCCATTAACAAATGTTTTCTATTATAAAAAATGTAAAAATAATTAAATTCCACACTATAGAGAGTACTTGATTGATTTTAGTATAATGATCTAGAAATTATTAGTTGCATTAAAGTAATTTGTGGAGAGTGATGAATAGTGATGAATAATGGTACCATTTCTAGCAATAGTTAACAATAATTTCCACACTATTAAGCCAAACTTGATTTTATTCATTGGACTAAATCTTTCAATAAAAAACAGATACACAATTTTTTTATACCTGGCCATTTAGCTGGTGACGTGTTGGGAGTCATTGCTTCATCTAAGCTTCCTGTTTTCAAAGAATGCCGGTGGGGAAGCAGTACTGTTTGATACACCATTCCTGTAAACTGGTTTGTTTGTAATGAACTAAGAGAAAAAAAGGAATATTTAAATCTATGATGAATTTCCCATAAAATACTTTTATATTTATTTTAGATCTAATTTCTAGCATACCTGAAACATGTTTTTATTTATTACTTATACCAGTTTTAAGTGTAAATAGATACACCTCATAAATTAAAATACATTGAGAGGTTTTAATTATAGTCATTTAGTGGAAGTTAGAATAAATACAAATAAGAAAATCACTACGGATCACAAATGGCAAGCTTATACAGGGGACTTTAAAACAAATTATTTGACTGAGAACAAAGTTAGGTAAGGTTCAAATGATATTTAATGCGGACCCGGCTCTACATAAGGCATCTTACCAAATATTAGGCCCATAGTAGAAAACGTGGCTTCTCTATACCCTGACATTTAAATCAGGTAGGGAATGAAACACATGTAAATTTACCACACGGTTTCTAGACACAAATCTATGTAGAGGATGATATGAAATAAAAAAGTATTTCATACAATTTGGGAATTCAGGCTAAGCCTCCCCAAGCAACAGATAATTTAAAGTAAGACGAAGTAAACAAATGAATAAAAATAACAACTTGGCTGGCCCCAAACTATGAAATAATTCTGACTGGATGTGGAAGAAGTTTGTCAATGCCTGTCAGAAAGTTCTACATCATTTATTAAGTAAACAAATATTTAACTATGATGAGTCTTCAAAAAGTTCATGGAAAAACAGGATTGAATGATAATGGACACCACACATTTTTTGAAGTAACCCCATATTTAAACATTACACTGAAAAGCCTTTTAGGTTCATTTGCCTCATAGAGCGCATTTATTGGCTTAAACCTATGATTAGTAAATCTAGATACTAACATAAAAAAAAAAAATTCCCTGCTACATTAAGCCTACAGAAGTGAAAGAGAAGTTAAAAGTAAGTTAAGAACAATAAAGCCATACTCCTTTATCAAGGAAGTGAACTGCTTAGATGAATAGGGTCAAAGGAATCAAGTTGAAGTTACGTTGGGGATACAATCACAGAATCGGTGCATTAAACAGGCTACTCACAGGACTATTCAAACATATAAAGTGAACAGACTACCAAAAACCAACAAAGAAGGCTCCCAACTATAGGAAAAATAACAAGCATAGCAAAAGATTTCAAAGAGGAAGCCAATTTAACAGAACTTTAAAGAAATAACTTATGACCAGGTTGGGGAGGGGTTATGACTGAATGGGGAGACAGAAAAAGATGATAAAAAACAAAACAAAGATAATAACAACAATAACAAAACCGACAGCAACTGAACCCATTCTAACTTATAGTGACCCTATAAGAGAGAGCAGAATTGCCCCTTGTTAAGTTTCTGAGACTGCAAATCTTTATAGGAGTAGAAAGCCTCATTTTTCTCCTGCAGTGTAAGCTGATGGTTTTTGAAGGACTGAGCTTGTGGTTAGTGACCCAATGTATAACCCACCATGCCATGCCACCAGGGCTCAAACAAAATAGCAAGACATTGTTGAAGAATGAATTAGTAGGTGGAAAACGGAACAAAGATTTTTCCTGAACTGTAATAGTGATCAAGAAATGGAATATCTGATAGGAAATTAAAACAGGATGAATTCACAAATTATAGTATTTATTTACCAGGAGAAAAAAATAAAACAGAAAAGAAACAATATTTAAATAGAAGTAGGAAATTTCAAAGAGCTGAAGATAAAGAAAAACCACCCACAGAGTCCCAGACAATAATTTTTAAAACCTAGATAAACTAGTTAATTTTTTGACTAGTAAGAGAAAAATACTAATATCAACTCTTCTGGAAAATTTTTCTCAGTTCTTTCAAATTAGTCATGATTGAGTACCCTCAATAATGTACTGTCTATATCCTCAATCAAGTACTATCTACATTATACTGTTTATTATTTAAGTAATTAACCATGCTGCATTCCACTTAACTGTTCAAAAAGTTTATCTTTAGCACTGGAAATATCTTAATTAGAAGACTTTACATTGTTTAAGTTAAAATTCATAAATGTCTAGTGAAATGGCTAGGAGAAGGCAGTGATCATTCAGAGAAAATGTAGGTAAATTATACTGAGAAGACTTTGAGATTCATTTGCCATAAAGACATAAGCTAACATTTCAAAGATGGAAAAAAAAGTATCATATGCTTTTCTGCATTATTTAAAATAGATCGCTGAATATAGTGTCTCTAAAAGAAACATACAAAATATGAAACCTGATTGTTTACTATAAGCATTCTTAATTTCATAAAAACAATATTTACCTGTAATTCTGACTACCACAAAGACACTGATAAATACAAGCAGAAAGTGAAGCTGCTAATGTATGCATTACATATACCTGAAAAACAAACAAGAAAATTACTAAGTACAATATTTTCCTTTCTTTTCACAAATCATTTTATTGGGGGTTCTTACAGCTCTTATAACAATCCATACATCAATTGTATTAAGCTCATTTGTACATATGTTGCCATCAACATTTTCTTCAAAACATTTTCTTTCTACTTGAGCCCTTGGTAATCAGCTCCTTTCCACCACCACCCCTCATGAACCCTTGATAAATTATAAGTTATTATTATTGTAATATCTTACACATTTTCACGTCTTAGTCCACTGTCTCCCTTCACCCACACTTCTGTTGTACCTCTCCCTTGGGGATGGGGGAAGGGGTAGTACAATATTTTTCAAGGCCCAATTTTTTAAAAGAAAAAAACCATTTTGCCCTTAAACTATTTTATAGCTTTTTCTAAAACACTGATATTTGCCCAGAAATCTAAAGAAAAAGCACAAAGATCTTTAGCATAAATTATAAAATCTATGTCTGCCAACTAATGTCTATTTAAAAATAAAGGGGAGTACAGTAGATGATTGTTAGCCAGTAGGACATCAAATATGTATTAAAAGTAAGTCATCCAATAATCTGATTTTTCCTGAACCAAGAAAGGTACCTACAAGAAAGGTAACTGATAAATGATGTTCACTCATAGGCAAGTCAATGAACAATGTTGCTGTTAGGTGCTGTTGAGTTGCTTCTGACTCATAGAGACCCCCTATGTACAACTGAACAAAACACTGGTCAGTCCAGCGCCAACCTCACAACTGTTGTTATGTATGAGACCATGTTAACAACCATAGGGCTACTCTATCTTGTTGAGGGTCTTCCTCGTTCTCACTAACTCTCTACACTTTACCAAGCCTGATGTCCTGTAACTAGAATGTATGGTAGACTATAAGCAATATTTAACCATGTAGTCTAGTTATCATAAAAGGTTTAAAGAGTACAACTTTAGAAAATGGAAAACATATAGGTATGAAAGACAGTAGCTGAAAGGCAGTAGTCAAACAACTCAGAAGGGTTAAAAGCTGTAACAGAAGTAAAACTGAAGATAAAAAAAATTTAGGCTAGACAATAAAATAAACTACAGTAATAGTAAAAAAACTAGACTTTTGATCTGATTAGGATGAATGACAGTCTTGTACATAAACAGGAAGTGAAAGATCAAAATTGCCATTTTTGCCTTTATTGATACAAAACACAAAATTAAACTCAAGAATATCATCATATGCACAAAAATGTCAAAGACTACTATACATGGAAATTGAAAAAGTGATGGTAAACTTTTGCAGTGGTATCTAAGAAGTGGAATTTATTCTTCTATTTTTAAATCTGGGCTGGTCTTATGATTTATGTTGATTAGCAAAACACAGCATAAGTGACACACAAAAGGCCCTAGTGGAGCACTGGCTAAGGTCAGCAGTTTGAACCCACCAGACCCTTAGAGGGAGAAAGATGTGGATGTCTGCTTCTATAAAGACCAGTTCTACTATGTCATAAAGGGTTACTACGTGCTGGAATAGGTTTGATGGCTTAATTGACATGTGAGCTCTCAATTTAGGCATCAAGAAACCTTGTAGTTTCTACTCTTACTGATGTTTAAGCCCCTACAATCACCATATGAAAAACCTAGGGATGTTCACTGGAGTACAAGACACATATAATACAGACTATAGTTCTGCCAACAGCTTGCCAACAACCAGATATGTAAATGAGGCCATCCCAGCTCACCCAGTGCCCAGCCAACCCACTAGTTGATCAAAGACAAATAAAAAGCTCAGCAGAGATCCACCTTGCTAGTAGTCCAAACCAGAAGAAATGAGCGGTTAGCTCATAGAATGAGCTAAATAAAGAGTGCTTGTTTTTAAAGAAAGGGAGCTTTGGGTGGCACAGTGGTTAATGCTGCCAACGCAAAGGTTGGTGGTTCAAACCCAGTAGAGCAGTTGCACAGGAGAAACCTGGGGCAGTCTGCTTCTATAAAGATTTCCAACCTTGGAAACCGCTTGTAAGGGGCAGTTCCACTTTCTCCTACAGGGTCACTATGAGTTAGAACGGACTCAACAGCAGTGGGTTTGGTGGGTTTAAAACTACTAACTTTTCAGGGTGGATCTTAAACAGCAAAAGCTAACTGACACAACAGGGTTATGCTATAACTCAGGATTGAATGGTGCCATTAAAATGAGCACAAGCTGAAGGAAGTTAAAATCCTAACTGTGGGTTTATATTATAAAGCAGTTCAGGAAAAGAGGCAACATTTAATTTGAAGGATTAAAGTTCTCACAGAAGGTAAGAACTCTAGGAAAGTCTGCTAGCAGGCAAGTAGAAAATCAAATGGGAAGGATACAGTCTGCGAGGTAGGTGAGAGTAATTGATGGTCTTTGAGAATATTTAAAAAAAAAGAGTAAGATATGCAAAGATAGTCAAATATGGTCCTCAAACCCATGGCCATCATGGGTAGTGCAGAGCCAGTGAGAAAGTGTGAAGTGCAGTGTCAGTAAGAAAGAAGCCAGATTAGAGCTGGTCCAAAAGGGTTCCAAAGTAGAAGAAACTTTGTGGAAGCACAGTGACAGCACTTTCTCCCTCAAAGCAACAACGTGCTCCTACAGCAAAGGGTTTCATGATGTTGGGGTAAAGATAAAGTATAAAATGTAGTCTTAATGGTAGAGTGATAAAGTAGAGTGTTAATAAGAAACATACTGTGCTTGATTAGATAATTAATTAGATGAACAGTTATGAGCATCAGAATGACCTGAGAACTTCTTAAACGCCCATATTCCTGTGCCAGAATCTCAGAGTGAATTAGTAAATTTAGAATCTGAATTTCAAAAAGGATCCTGAGGGGACAGGGGGGAAAGAAGCATTTAAAATTATTCTGCTGTAGCTGGTTTATAGGTGTCTGGTTAGTCCAGAGGAATGGCAGGACTGCATAACATTATTATAAAATATGTAACTTATTAATAAGCAAAACTGTTCACATGAAGATGTCAACAGTATTGTTACAAAAAATCACAAAAAACTTTAGCAAACAAAAACACCAAAATGTGAAGTTCTTGTTTCTTGGCATTTCTTCCATCGAGGTCTATATACTCCTGAAGGTAATGTTTCCATCTCTATCCCTTTTTCTAAGAAGTCTGTGCTCTTTGATTTACACATCAGTGACATCCTTGAAGAAATCAAATAATAGTCCATTTAAATGTGCTTTGAGTTTGGGTAACAAAAAGAAGTCTGAAGAGGCAAAACCAGGGCTCTACTGTAGAGTACGAAGAGGTTCATTGTTGTGATTGAAAAAAAAAAAAATTGGTTTATATATATATATATATCCGTACAATGGTCCTGGCCTTTTTCCCACCAATAAAGTTTTCAATTTTCCAAAAAATTCTTCTTAAAAAGACTGTGATCATCCTGTATCCTTTAAGAAAAATCAAGATTACCCTTGCTGAATCTCAAAAAAAAAGGTGACAAAGTTTTTAATCGAACTGCCGTGAACTGGTTTAGCAGATCCCTCTGGAGGGCACTGTTTTTTAAAAAGGCACTCTAATGAGAGTAAGACAAGTGTATTACTGAGAGATCTTGTCTGCAGCCATCCACTGATCACACAGACATGTTTAAGTGTGCCTCGTTTCTAACAAATTTGGGAATGTATGGACTGAAACCCCAATAGCAATGCTGTTTTACTTACTCACACATGAGGAGGCTTCAAAAAGTTTGTGGAGAATTCCATTATCTTTGAATTTCATTTTTCCTCAAAATTTTTGAGGTATTTAAAAGTAATTAACTCTTAAAAACACAGCATTTGTATATCTCTAAGATCAGCACTTTGGCTACAAGTGCTACTAAGGAGCCACCCAAGTATCTGTATAATGCCTCTTATTTTTATCTCAATAAAGTTGCTAAGTAAAGCTCAAAGGTAGCATTTTTATTACCTTGTAACGTGCTCTACTGGTTATACATAATACACGATGAGCTTTGTCTATAAATACAAGTTTTCTTTGATTAGACTCACTATATCCTTGGTAGTACAGCAATCTATCTGTTATAGTCAAATCTTAATACTGGTTACAATGTATATTTTAGTTTTTTCATGGAATACAAATAAATTAAAAGCTTAAAACAAAGCATACTTACATTATTGTTCTGGATATCAGGATGGGGAGGTGAATCAAATTTTACTATGGCATGTAGAATATCATGTGTTAGGTTGCTCAGGTGCAATAATGGATTGGCAACTACTGTTTTGGCACTAGCTGTACAAGCAAAGAGGAGAGGTACTGAAGTTTGCTCTGACAAAGGGCTAGGAAAAATTGGTTCTGATGTTTCCTTAAAAACAAAGGGGAAAAACTTTGTAAGTGATTAATAGTTAGAACACATTATTTAAATTATTCAGTGGCCTCTTTAAATAAACTTCAAAAAATATAAAAACTCAAAGTGTAATAAAAACAAAGAGTTAGAAGGGGCATGAGCAGATTAACTTACATCAAAACCAAATATTCTTCAATAACACTAAAAGTGATTGATAATATCTTCTCCTCTAGTAAAAAGAAGCTCAATGTCTCACAAGGCATTCATATAGGCCCTGATAGGGAACTGCCTTTATACCATAAACACACATCTTTATAAATTTACAATATGCAGCACTACATAAAAAGGGCCATTTCTTAAAGCAACGTTAAGGAAGAAAATCAGGAGTTTTAATATTTAAACACAAAAACAACATGACAAAAACTTTTACATAGGCCCTAGTTTACTAGCTATCATATATGTTACATACCTGCTGAGATTCTTGTAAAAGCAAAATCAGTTCCATTCTCACAGATGCAAGGCCCCCACCATGGGATCCATGAAGTATGCAGTAACTAAGAAACATCCTCAAGAGTGACTGATACTTTAAGAGCCACTGTCTTCTTTCCTGAAAATTTTCCTTCAGTTTTTTCACTTTTGTTTGATGAAGCAAGTCTTCAGCATCATCACTTAATCGAACCTCATCTCCATCTTCATCAAATGCAGGCTGTAATTCTTCAACATCTGCACAGTAGTCACAAGTCCTCTGAAGAGCTATCACTTCTTTTTCAAGCCAATGGTAGAGTTGGTAACGCAATTTTCCACCATCTATTTCATAACCAGTAGATAAAGTACGAAGTTCTACTGTGAGAATCTTCAAACATGCTCTAAATTTTAATTGAACTGTAATTATATCTTCTGAAGGACTTAAAATGTCATTCTCATCTAGTGTATTGAAAGATTCTGTGCAATTAGAACTTGTTTCATCTAATTTTTTACTGATTTTTCCCTGTGAAGGTTTTAGTTCCTTCATTGAAATAGGAAGGTCCTCATTTTCTTCATCGTTGTCACTGTCCCATTTTAACTCTAAGGAGTCTTCTTGTAATACAAAACTTGGTTGGCTCCAGTCAAAAGAAAGAGTGGAGTTTGATTGCTTCTCTGAGGAACCCTCCGAAGAAGATCCAAAACCATTCACCAATGACTGAGACCAATCAACAGCAGACTTATCTTCCCTTGCATCCAATTTTGATGGAGAAGATGGAGAACAGTCTTTACTAGTATCAAAAAAACTAGATGTTCTACAAAAAGGTTTCGTCTTTTTTATGACTTTGGGCATCTTTGATAAAACTTCCAGAGCCAACATGGGACAACCATTTTTTAAATGTGCACTGGCAGTAGTAAAAAATAATCTCCTTTCACTTAAGTTGATTGTTCCAGATAGCCCATTTTTCCCTGTTAGACTCGTGTGTATGGAAAATGCATCAGAAGAGCCAACATGACGTCTCAGCAATAGAGGATGTGTCCTTAGATAATTATAGAAGTTGAAAACTGCAGGATTGCAGCCTGACATCATGGCTTGACCTGAAAAGAAATTTATTTTGAGAGCCAAGAAAAATTCTTCAAGAGCTGAATCATTCACCTGGTCTTTTGACAAAATTTAATGAACAAACCAAACTAATCATTGATATCACATGAAAGTAAAATTTTGCTGAAGATCATCCAAACATGGTTGCAGCAGTACACTGACAGGGAGCTACAAGAGGTTCAGGCTGAGGATGTGATTCAGAAGAGGATCTGGAACAAAGGATAGCACTGCCGACTTCAGATGGATCTTAGGTGAAAGTAGAAAATATCAGAAAGAGATTTGCTTGTATTTCATTATGCCAACTGTGTGGACATCCAACTGTGTGGATCACAACAAACTATGGACAACCTTGAGAAGAATGGGAATTCTAGAACACTTCACCGCGGAATCTGTCCATGGATCAAGAGGCAGCTGTGCAAACATAACACGATTATTGCATGGCTTGAAATCAGGAAAGGTGTGTCTCAGGGTTGTATCTTTTCACTGTACTTGTTCAATCTGTATACTGAACAAATATAAGAGAAACTGAATGTCTTGATTAAAGATCAACAAATGAATTCTGACAAGGGGAGAAATTTATGAAAGAATTAAAAATTCTTACAGATTTCAGATTCACTGAACCTGTGTCTGGATAAGCCCCAAATCTAGGTCACCGAGAACATGTTTAAAACCATGAATTGAAATGATTCCCTGCCATGTCCCCACTGAAAAAAAAAAAAGAAATGATTCCCTCAAGTCAATTTTCAATTAAATACTTGCTCCATTGAATTACTAAGAATTTGACCATGAGCATTGAACTCTTTTAACTCTTTGCATGAGATCAAACTGTCAACTGAATCAAGTTCACTGCCATCAAGCCAAATGTAACTCATAATGACACTATAGGACATATTAGAACTGCCCTTGTGGATTTCTGAGATTGTAAATCTTTACAGGAGTAAAGCCTCTCATCTTTCTCCCTTGGAGTGGCTAGTGAATTTTCTAAAACACAGATGAACAGTTTAGGGGCTAGTGAATCCTTGCCAATGGTAGTAAAATAATAAAGGCAGAAATAACAAAAATGGTAACACAATGTGAAGAATCAATTACTGGATAGTACACGTAAAATGTGATGAATGTATGTGTAAAAAATGTATGTATACTTTCACCCAAAGTAAAATGACATAAATCATACCATTTATAGCTCAATCTCCTATTGAACAATGAGTATAAAAGGTTTATCTAGCTAAATATTTTCAAATCATATCACTTATATCAGCTTTCTTTACATTGAATATATTTTTATTCTTATAGTTCTAAAACTGTTTACCAACCATAACTCCTACCAAAGATAAACATATTTTAGTAGTTTCCCAAAACACTTACCTTCTAGAGTTGATTATATTTATGATCAACAATTCTATTTCATAAAGATAAAAAAGTCAAAGTCTTAAAAAAAAAAGCCTTAAAAAAAGCAATACATACACGCAAAAACTATATATACAAGTCTGTGTTTCCAATGAAACTATTAAGTCTTGGATCATGCATTCAGCAATTTTATATTACACTCAGTACCCAGGAGGATTCTGAAAAATGCTTAATCACTAACATCTCCAAAGTGCAGCTTACCATGATCCTCTCTGACAGGGTGCCTTATTAATGTTTCCAGAGCACTACCATAATCTTCCAAAATCCAATATGCCATACTCCGAAGAAAAGGATCATAATGCATATTTATGTTCAATAAATTGACTTCATTGGCAGGAGACTCAATTCCCAAAACCTTTTTACGTAATACAGACTTATATGTAGATGCTCTATCAAATTCAGATTCATAGAGTCTTGCTATTATAAGAGCCAACTGAACGTCATTCAGTTTTTCAAGACATACCTAAAAAAATTTTAAAAAGAAATTGTTCATAAATAAGTAGGGGATTCTCTTGAGATTAAATAAATTAGCTCAATATCTACAACAAAAGGATTATTAACAGAAATTAACAAGCACACCAACAACAAATATGCTACTTGGTTTCACAAATCTTCCTGAGAATATTTATATCGTTAAATTTGATTATTTTACTTGTTTATTGAGAAAATTTATATTTAGCATTAGCCAGCTAGACTCAGTTTAGATGATTTCAATTTTGTTGGCTGCATCTAAAGTATCATAGTCAGAAGCCAGTCAACCATATGCCTTCTTGCTCTCAGGCCTGATCAAGGTGTTGATCTTGGCTACGATAATGTCATAGAGCATCTTCACGGCCTGTTTGATCTGGTGCTCATGGGCCGTGATATCCACAATGTACACAAGTGTGATATTGTCTTCGATCATCTTTATGGCAGACCCCACGGTAAAGGTACACTTGATGATGGCATAGTCGGCCAGCTTGCTGCTTCTAGGGGTTATGTGGGCTGCCTACTTAGCTTCAGGGTCTTGGGCCATAGAAAGGTGATGTTATGCAAATATTCTTTTTGATTGTGTGCAGTATGGAATCCTTTCAGCACTGCCTTCTTGCCCTTTAACGTCTTTGTTTTGTCTTTCGTTTAGGGAGGGGCACGGGCTTCCTTCGTTGCCTTCAGTACCCTCTGTGTAAAAAGTCTATGTGAATACTTTTAAATCTGTCTGCTCAAAAAAACACTAACACCACCACCCCCGAAAAGAAACAAACAAAAAATACGCTAATTCACTGCCATGGATGAAGTCGATCCAGAGACATAGCAACTCTATAGGACAGGGTAGAACTAACTGCCCTTGAGAGTTTACAATTCTATAACTTTTTATACGAGTAGAATGTCTCATCATCAGCCTTATATTATTTCCATATAATTTTAAGTTTAAAAATTTTAAATTTAAGGTTTAAGTCACAAGTAAAGGCTGTTAATGCTATTGGGGAAAAGGCCATTCATTACCTCAATTGCATCTCTAAGGCAGCCAGCTAAAAGAAAAAATGCTGCAGAATGTTCAAAACGCTGTTTGCCTAGTAAGGAAAAGGCATTCTTTAAAGCGGCTTTACGCCACCTATCCTCCTCAAAATTGTGTCCAAAAAATTGTGTCATTTTGGCATCCTTTTGAGATCTATGAAGAAAAAATGAAGTTAGACAATTTTGGAACACAACACTTCCATGAGCAATTCAGTCTTATAAAGAGTTAAGAACCAACAGACATACAGCAGGATATGACAAAATACCAATTTACAAACTATCAAGGGCTCAGAAGGGAGGGGGGAGCGGGGAGGGAGGGGAAAAATGAGGACCTAATGTTGGGGGTTTAAGTGGAGAGAAAATGTTTTGAGAATGATGTACAAATGCGCTTTACACAATTGATGTGTGTATGGATTGCAATGACAGTTGTATGATCCCCTAATAAAATGTTTAAAAAAAAAAACAACTAAAAAAAAACCACAGACATACAAGAGAACTTCAAAAAGTTTGTGAAGCCATTTTACATTTGCCAGTTTGTAAATTACATCCTGTTTCTGTTCCCCCAGCAGTAAAGAATAGGAATTTTTTTTTCATAAAAATTACATAAATCAGAACCAAAAAAAATCTTTCAAACTTCACTGAAAACTGTACTAGCAGCAGTGGGTGGAGTTATTTTATGTCCTTGCAAAATTCATAAATTACACTAACTTTTTCACTTTAACTTCTCCATTTGCCCTGGCTACCAGCTCTAGGATGATTTTGGTGACAGAAACCTTAAAACTATAGTCCGATTGAAAAAAATCTACAAAGGAAGACCTAATTGAAAAAAATGTAAGATATTTAATATCTTAAAGTTGACATATCAAAACTATCCCCAAAAGACTGTTTTTCATAAAGATTCAACTGGAAATGAGCATAAAACAAAGAAGAGCCATATATGGCCATGATGGTCATCAAGTCTTGCCAAAACGTGAGAGTCAAAAACTCAAAGTGATCTCAGCTTGGAAATGCATTCCAGGGCTTCAAGAAAAAGCAGTTTGGAGGGATAGGCTGGCTCATCAGCTTTCAAAAGAGCAGAGGGAAGATGCTGTTTCCAGGCTCCAGCAACCCATCATCTTCCCCACCCATGACTCTTGTTTTCTTTCTTTCTTTTTTAAACTTAGTATGCTTTTTAACAAAAGTATTCTCTCTAGAATTATCATGAGACGTTCTTAAGATAAATGAAAACATGGGTTGTGGGTCTGATAAACCTGAAAACAAACAAAAAAGACCTCATCAAAATTCTATTTTGGAAAACACGTAGGCTTCTTCCCTATGAAATCTGCTATTAGAAACTTGGCAAAGAATCTAAAAACATGAATACAAATTTGAACAAATCTTACTTAATACATTTATACTTTTTATAAAAAGTTTTTCATCTTGAAGCAGTTTCCTCACCTACCTATATAACCCCCAAATCACAGCTTTCTTTTTCATTGCGAGGTAAAAGATGGCAGCATCTAAAGGATCATTCTTTCGGTAAAAAGCAGCTTTGGCTACCTTTAATTAGAAAATATTGGTGAAAATTTGACAAACGCATTTTTAAGTGAAAAATCTTCTATATGAAGCTAGCATACATTTATTTGCATGCTCAATCCATAATTTAAAGTTACGTGGATATGAATGTATATCCATGTGTGTGGATAATGACCAAAGTTACAGCCTCTAAGGGTATAGTGGAAACAGTGCTAACACTTCTTATTTTACTTTTCAAAAACATGTACATAAATTATTTGGTAAAACTTAGATATATATTACTAACAAACATGTTCATAATAATTTTAGAACTAGAATGCCAATTAAAAAATTTACATTAATAATATTCTGAAACATGATGGCGATTTAAAAATATTTCAGTGCTTTAAAAAGAAACGGGTAACACCAGAGTAAATGTTCAATGCTATTTAATGATATGTGCAAAAAATATATTAATTATTACATCATAATAAAAACACTTACCTTTTCTACGCATCGGCGTAAATTTCGGGTATTCCGGACCCACCACCCTACACCCATAGCTCTTAGCTCAGCCCAAGTGGGATCATCTTTTTGCATCGCTGGCAACATGTTCAGCAATTCTTCTTCTGCTACTGAGTGAAATGCCCAGGCAAAATGACTAGTAGAAAGACCTGAAAATGTGAAAAATAATGTTTATAGGGAATATGATCACCATTACATGATTCTCAGAAATGTTTGTTCTATATTTTAAATAAAAAATGCCTGAACTTTATATGATATTCAAATAATTATAACCAAATGTCTATGACTAGTGAGTATAGATAATTTTTCTTTTTCTCCAAACAATTGTAACTTTAGTAGTTTCTGAAATGAGCATATATTTTCTACAATTAAAACTTTTTAATAAGGTAAGAAAAAAATGCTTATGGCAAATGGCACTGCTGCAGAATTACTAGTCTCTAGCTATCAGCCATTATATTATTGCATTATTCTCTAGCTATTATTACTCAAAAGAAAGATGAGGCTGGTTGCTGCTCCCATTAAGACTAATAGTCTCAAACCCTATGGAGTAGTTCTACTCTGTCCTACAGGACTGCTATGAGTCAGAATTGATGCTATTACCTATCATTGTTTTAAGAAAATGAGAAATATACATGTAAACATTATTGCATATGGGCGCATTTCTCTCTTCAATACTGCTTCTCATCTTTTTTGGTCAACATTTGCTTTATAGATTTTAATTCCAATGAATTATAAAAGCATTAGCTTGGTGACTTGAACCTAACACAACAAAGACTCTGAAATCAGGATGTGTGTTTACTTGCTGATCTACTAACTGTATAACTTTAGAGAAGTTAATTCATCTCTTTCTGGCTTAGTTTCTTAATTTATAATTTACAATTTACCTTATATTGTTTTGAAGATTAAGTAAAATAAGTAAAACATTTAAAAAAGAACTTAGTACATAGTCACTCCTATTACCTGTTGTATTTATTTATTTATTTTTTTTTTTTACCTGTTGTATTTATAAAGCACCCTATACATGGATAAATCTCCCAAACTATTAGTCTACACAGGTGTTATTTATTGGTTAGTTTTTAATTATCTTCCTTCACAATGAATTTTATTTAGTATTAGACCTAAACCTGAGTAAAACAAATGGTTAACCACAAGATTCAGCATTGACATATTTGGACATAATTATGGTCTCAAGTTTTAAACTTGTGCCAAGAAACCTGAAATGCCCACTATAGGTAAGTCCTTGAGAATAAATAGGAAACACAATCAAACAAATAGAAAACTCACGCTGGGAATGAACAGACTATTATTCTAATTATTTTAAATATTTCTATTACTTCCTAACCAAGCTCAAATTTTTTCATCGATAAAGAAGAATCTGATTTTAGGCTTAACATTTCCAAAGCTAAACACAAAATGAGAAGGAAGAAACAGAAAGAAGAGCTAAAGAATAGTAAAGGAAAAATAAAGAGACTCAAAGCCAGATACCAACAGGCAAAGGCTGAGTTCCAATAAAATTCTTGGAAGTTGGATCCTTCATATATGGAGAATTTGTTGGCTTTTTCATGTGTGGGCAAAAACAAGATAAAAGTTTACAAGCTACTCTTCTTAACTAAACTGCCACATTTAATAGATTATAAACCAAATTACCTTGGTGAAGGAGTTGAGCTCGATAGGCTGGAAGGGAAGTTGTAAGGAAGGTATGGAGTCGAACAGCCAAAAGAAATTTTAATCCACATTCATCAAGAGTTTCTCCACCTACAACCAGGAATTTTTTAAAATTGTAAAATAACAAAAAATATTTCTTTAAACAAGGCACCGGTAGACGCTAAAAATGTTGGCAACCACCATATTACAGTTCTAAATATAAGATTGTTCTTAAAACGACAAAAGTTATCAGTCTAAATTTTAACTTTCATTATCTATAGAATTATATAACATAGAAAAAGGTAGCAATCAAGTTATTGGAAAAATCATAAAGCAGAGAATGAATTGATTTAGTATTGATGACAACTTTCATAATCTGTACTCCTGTGATCAAGAACCTTCAATAACATGGCACAATTTTTAAACAGTTTAACTCTTTCTGTGACAGACAGTACACTAATATTTTCAAGAAAGGGTCAGATCATACGAGTATACCCACCCCAGTAATCTGCAGCTACTATTGGAAGTCATGATTGTACGAAAGGAGGTTGTACTACATAAAAATTAGTACATATTAGTAGTATTTCCTTTAAATTTTTTTCCCTCTTGAATATAACCCTGTATTTTCCTGTCAGTTTAGCTCATGGGGTGCATCCGACTGACTGGAAAAAAGCTGGACTTACTAATTTCAAATCACACTTGTAATCTTGTGGGGACTCTAACTCAAGAAATTTAAGAAGAAAATGGCCATGTGGGAAAAAAACCCCGACACCAAAAAAGACCTAATTCTATAATGCTTGTGTTTGTTGTTGTAAGTAGGAATATATTAATTCTAGCTTTTTTAAGGGGGGAAAAAATCACTCAATCTTTTCAAAACAAAAGTATAGCTCATAACATTGTGTAATGGAATCACCTTTTATTTTTAGGTAAAATAATACCTAAAGTAACAATTACTGAATACAAACCTAAGTACAGATTCAAGTTAAAACTGTTGTGAAGAAGCTATCATCAATTTGTCCTCCAATTCTACACAGAATTTAACTTTACCTTGGCTTTTGTCTCGGCTTTCTCCAATATCAGTACTTGTAGTTGCAATTGTGTCTGCTAAGGCCATTAAAGACATCTGCTCCATTCGGCTGAGTCCTGGTAAGCTGGAATGAAGTAAGTGGCCAGAAAGAACCTGAGCATGCTCAGGACCAAAGTAAGTTGGACTGTACTGTGACAGGTCAATAACCCTGGGCTTTGTGTTTTCTTCGTCTGTCTCTAACACATGGCTGTCAGACATTAGAGCTGAGATCTGAAAAAGCTCATCATAATTTTCAGTTGATAATTGGTTTGATTTATTTAAGGTATTCTGGTTACTAGAGATCTCCAAGGCTGAGTAACAGCTGTCATCATCTGCTGCAAGTAAAGAGTATAAAGGAAGCGGAGGGACAGAATCTATTTCTGTATAATCTGTACTTTCACTTTTGTGGAATGCTTGGGGGTCTCTGGTAGTGATTCCACTAGCACTGATGGTGAGAGACCTAAGGCGGCGTTCATGATTGGATTCAGTTTCATTCAGCGCCACAACTTCTCCAGCAATGCACTTGACAAGATGCGACAAGATGGCTTTTGCTCTCCGAACTTTCCCAAGATCCATGAGTTCCAAAAGCTGCAAGGGATGGTACTGAGGTAAAGTTGGGGAAAGTGCATGAGCTGCTTCAAAGAGTCCAGAATCTTCCATATCCACTGAAGGATCAAATGCCGTTTTCTTTCCACAGATTTTCTGTGCAAGACTGGTCATGGATCGAGTCAGAGTTTTCTTTGGAGGATGCAACCCAAAACTTGATGAATTACTTTGTTTAACTAAACTTACTATAGATGGAGTGCTTCCACTGTATGAATCTGCTATAACCAGTTCTTGTTTAGAAGATGGCTGCCATTGGGAATATACATGCATTTCACAGTCCATTCCTACCACCAGGATGCCATCACGAACCCATGACAAAGAAATAGGTAAAGGTGGGGAGCCTTCCACAGATGAAACCAGGTCCACACTTCGTAACAGAACAAACTTGGAAAGAGGCACAACTTTAGTGCCCTCCCAGAGCGGAAATGCTATACTTTCCTTTCCAGACTGTTCTTGTAGCTTGCCAGCCAGGGGTCCATACATAAACAGCTTGGATCCAATTCCAACAGTCAGAATATGAGAACCATCCTCTCTAGACATCCAGTCTAAGTGAACTAAGTGCTTTGTGTTTGATGTGATAGTCTCTTTACTAGATAAATAAATCTCCTGTTTATTATAGGTCACTAAATTGCTGTCAATACTAATGCCAGAATCCAAGACTGTGCTTAACTCATCTAAATGAATTGTCTGTTCAAGAATCCAACATGAACCTCCTGTAGATTCACATTCAAAAATACTTACATGCATCATAAAGTCCTGAGAAGAGCTACTAGTACATGCAGGCTGCTTATAAGCTACTGCTAAACGATTTGTGTGTGCACAGCTAACTTCTATAGGTCTACCAGGTACAGAGATACTACTATTGTTCTGAAGTCCATCTTCAATAAGCAATGGCCATTCTTCCCAGATGTATGTAAGATCCATCTTGCCATTCTTTGATGTAGCAGATTCTACACCTGTTACTCTGCATCTCCAGAATCGTACGCTCTCATCTGAGCATGAAGTTGCCAATAAGTAAGGAGCACTGCATACAGGATATATGGAAGAAGAACTCAAATGTCCTAAAATGCAAAAAAGTCTATTAACAAAATATCAAGTTTAAATATTTGTTTTTTCATGTACTAAAGATTTTAGTCCTTTTGCTTGAACTACTGTTAAAAACATGACAGGTCTATCTGTATTTTAAGTGTCAACTAGTTGGGTAACAGGCGTTAATAATACAAAAAATAAATAAGGACAGCATCATCAAAACCTAAAGAACTCAAGTTAATTATTAAGTTATTTAATTCCTTCATTTTGTAGATTAAAAAAAATCATGACCATGTACAACTATCTTGATACTTATCTTGTATCCATAGTCTACAGTTAAAACTACAAAATTAGACATCTAACCTCTAATCCAGCATTCTCTGAATGACTCTTTCCAAGTTTTATATAGTATTATAAATCTCATCAGAAAGGTTGATCAGTACATTAAAAAAAAATCTCAACATATACTAGTTCATTCTCCTTCTATTTTCAATACAATTTAGAATAGTACATACTTATACAAGTACTAAATGAACCCCTTACTAGGTTTTCCATGAGTCAGATATATGTAACACTTGACCTAGAGGATTCCTAAGTGGGATTTGGTTTAGGCTTAATGTAATCATAAACTCTGTTTCTTAAACTTGAAGCCAGGAAACTCCTCCCCCCTCACCCCCCCACCCACCCCCGAAAACTTTCTTAAAGGGCCAGACAGTAAGGACGATTCTAGGCTTTCTGGTTCTTGGGGTGTTTGCCACAACTACTCAGCTCTGCCACTGTAGCACAGAGCAATCAGTCACAATAGCAAATAATAGATGGGGCTGTAGTCTAGTTAAACTTATTTATAAAAACAGGAGGCTGGTCACTCTTCTAAATTATTAAACATGAACTGTAACATTATAAAATTATTTAGAATATTATGATCTTTTAAAAGCACATTTCAACCTAATTATAAAAGTTTTAAGTCAAAAGGAATATAGTACCATTGCTAAATGACACAATTAGCATTATTTATTATCATTCACTCAATAAAAACTAAGTGATTGAAGTAATAAGATGATGAAATAAGTGAAAAGCATTCAATTTGTACAAGGGGGGGGGGATTAGTAGAAAAGGACAAAGACGCATATTTGACTATAGAAGACAGATTTTAGCTTGGTATTCTTGATCTTTTGAATACGTAAGAATCACCTAAGGCCTGTTAAAACAGCTGGCTTCACCCAAAGCTTGTGATTCAGTAGGTCTGGGGTTGTGGGTCAAGAGTTTTCATTTTTAACAAGCTCCCAGGTGATATTGATGCTATTTATCTCTAGGGTCCACATTTTAAGAATAATGAGGATGAATATGTAGCAGGAAACACGTACTTAGAATTCTTCTTAGTACATGGCTCCTGACAGTTACTACTAAAATAACATGAGTTTACAACTTTCACTTTCTCTCTGAAGACAATGGAAGTTTTAAATATCAGTACTTAAAACCAAAATTGGCTGACGAATGTCAGCATAATCAGAAAATATAAAATTTATGTTTCCTATGGAGGGTACGAGGGTACTTAAGCATATTCTTTCCACTTGTCATTTTGTGTATTTAAAAGAAGGAGTTGTGCATGTTGATAAACACTCAATAGGTTCCAAAATTCTTTTCCCACAAAATTTACAAACCTGCTGATGGCTTAACACTTATTATCTCAACTCCGTCAGGTAAACACAATTCTTGGCTATAAACCATTTCTGAAGAAAGGGTCAACTTGCTGGTACTTTGAAGATTTGCTCTGCAAGCTTCATACTTTTGTGAAAAAGGAGATATAATCTTTTCTGGAGAAGAATAATGTTCGTTAGGCTGACAACCTGCTTCAGCTGTTTTTGTATCTGTTTTTTCATCTATAAAACATAAAAAGGACCAATAACTGGTGGAAAATGTTATAAATATCACATCTGCAGAGAAGTTAATTTTATAATCTGCAACTACCTTATAAGAGAGAAGTACACATATTAATATTTGTATTAATTAATTAGAAATTACTTGTTTTATTTATTTGAAAACAAAAGTTGGTTTACCTTTTGAATTAAACAAAACAAAATAAAAGGCAATCACCTCTCAATAAGACTGACTTTAAAGACATAATTGTCTAAACATGTTTAAATTTTTATTTTATGTGTACTGATAGTTACAAAAAAGACTCACCCAACGAGACAGGAATGGACTTTAAATGTAAATTCCACATACGTAGCAATGACCGGTTGTCTTGAGTACACTCTATTACAACTAGGTAGAACTTTTCAGAAAATCTATTAGGTGAGTTGCCTGTTGGTATTAATGATACATTATTATTGAAATGGATTAATTCATACTTTAATTAATTCAATCCATTATTGAAATGGATTAATTCATACTTAGTATAAAAAGGTCAACTCAAAATAATTGAATCTTGTATGGATTGTGATAAGAATTGTACGAGTCCCCAATAAAATGACTTTTAAAATAAATAATTGAATCTGGAAAAAAACAAAGCAAATAGTTCAAAACTTTAAACTATGGTTCAAAATACAAAATGGTATTATAAGGATGTAACAAATATACACCTGCTACCCTTAAATTAATTAACAATTAATAGTAAAAATATCATATATAACTTAATACATTGCTCCATATTCTGTACATTCTAATTACACAGTCATTGCTAAACTATGCACATATATGAAAGGATGTCAAAAAATTTATGAAAAAGTCTACTATCTTTTAATTCCCTTTAGTATGAACTTTTCAAAGTCCCCTCATGATACAATTTTTAAGTTGATAAAAACTAAGTGATGTGGCCATATAAACTCATATATAAGTGATGATAGTCTACTATCTTTTAATTCCCTTTAGTATGAACTTTTCAAAGTCCCCTTGTGATAAAATTTTTAAGATGATAAAAACTAAGTGATGTGGCCATATAAACTCATATATAAGTGATATAGCCATTGGGTAAATTGCCAATAACAGATCCCTTCAGGACCAGTGGTGAGGGTGGCAGTGCTGGGAGGGTGGGTCAAGAGGGGGAACTGAAACAAGGATCTTTATATAACCTCCTCCCGGGGGGAATGGACAAGAGAAAAGTGGGTGAAGAGAGATGTCGGACAGTGTAAGATATGACAAAATGATTTATAAATTATCAAGGGTTCATGAGGGAGGGGGGAGGGGGGAAAATGAGAACCTGAAGCCAGGGGCTTAGGTGGAGAGCAAATGCTTTGAGAATGATGAGGGCAGTGAATGTACAAATGTGCTTTATACAAATGATGTATTTATGGATTGTGATAAGAGTTGTATTAGCCCCAAATAAAATGATCAAAAATAAATAAATAAATAAATATAGGGGGGAAATTGTCAATAAAACTATATTGTCAATTTTCTTCAAGTGAATTAAATGATATAATGGAATAATGTAGTCATAATTTTGATGCAATGACCAACTTTTAGGTATTCATTATATAATAATCCAGGATAGCTTTTGAAAAACCCAAAACTTATTTTATGACAGCTTTTAATCAGTCATCTTTATTATAAGATATACTTAACTAGAAGGAAAATTACATATAAACAAAAAATGCATAACATATATATTATATCAGAGCATGTAAAAAACTTGAGAAAAACATTAAGAGTTTAATGGTTTTATCCTTTTATAAGTTCACAGAAAAAACATGTTTCAAAAGAACACTAAGAAAGGAAATTATCAGTATCTTAAATCACATTGTGTTTAGAAATAGACAAAATGAAAAGTAATTTTTGAATTGTGTTCTGGGCTAGTTGGGTACACATAAAAATTAAAGAAAAAGATCAAGGTTTGTAAAAGAGAAAAGAAATACAAACATCAATCTTTTTCCTGATTATTTCACCAACAGTAAAGGATGTCCCAATAACAAAAGTATCTGTAAAATAATTTTTCTCTTAACTCTAGAACAGAGGCGAGAAAGCTGCAGCATAGATAGCTCTTTTGGTATATACATGTGACTGTGCAGTAAAATTGAAAAAATTTAAAGGATATTATTCAGATAACAGTGATTTCATTTGTTTTTAAAAATATATTTGTGTCCCTTGAATAATTTTTAGGATTGGCTCTTCTGTCTCAAAAGTTTGCCAACCGTTGTGCTAGAACAAAAGATAATTTAACCAAACTCCTTTGACAATTTAGAAAAGTTTTTAAGTAAAAAGTTTGTAAAGATTCTTTAAATATTTTAAGAAAAATATAATCATCATGTATACAGAAAAATAATAAGTTAGAAATGAAATGGAGGAAAAAATGCTAAGACAAATGAAAATCATTGCAAAACTCAATCTTAAAAAGAAAATAATTTCTTGTAATGGTCTTCATTTTAATCAATATTTTAACATCAATATAAAAATAACAACGTGTTTAATTCTTTTCTTCTGGCACATTTAATTTTCATTTTTAACACCTTTCCTTCATTATGTTCAGAGATTTTTAAGAACACATCAATAATGTTTACTTGCACAGCTAAGAAATTCTCAGGGACAGTAATAGAAAAGTAAATGAAAACAATGGTAAGAAATCATGGTTTTACCATGAAAGCACAGAATGCTAGGGAGTACTTCTCAAGAAAGAAAATAGAACAGTAGAAGAAAAATAATTCGGAAGAGAAAATGCAATAGACAAAACTGAAAAAAACTCTGAACAGAAAGAAAAAGTTTGTTAGCATTCTTTGGGGGCTGATAATTAATTGACTTTTTAAGCAGCCAGCACATACTGCATGGCTGCTTTCTAAGTTTTTCAGTTTGGTTTGACTCTATAGTTAAAAGTGATAACCAGGAGATGTTGGCTTTATTTTTCTCAGCTTTCCTTTTTTTGCAAATTAACAGTTAATGTTGGCTCGAGTTTAGTAAAAACCTTCAACTGTTTTATTATTATAAAAGTATTTAGTTTGTCTTTTTGCGACCACTAAAGATTACACATTTCCAAAAGGTCAGATATGTAAATTACCCTAATAGTATTAAACAGTATCCCATCTATACCAAAAGCACCCAATATATAGACAGAATATTTCTATTATATTTTATAAAAAGATAGAACTGACCAAATATTTCTATTATCAGGTTTTTCATGCATATTTTCTAGTTAAAATATGATAAATAATAGAACAAACCTTTGGAACAATTTCAACTTCAAGTAGTGTGAAATATTCTAATCGATTCATCTTTATTAACTTGCTAATAGATTCTACAGCCTCTCATTAAATTAAAAATGCTTCTTTACCTGCATGAGATAAATTGTCCTTTCCCCAACTTTTCTTCTCAAGGTCATTCAAAATGAAATCTTCTTGAAAAACATGAAGGAGTTGTGTTTTTCTGCCATGCTGAATGCAAACAAAGAAATACCAAGAGAAGTTGATAGATACGCCCTCCATCTAATGTTACAGACTCTTTAAAGAAGCCCTATGGGTCCTGTTGGTCAGTGGTTCAAACACAACAATCAACTCCACAGAAGAACGATGAGACTATCTGCTCCCATAAAGACTGATAGTCTCAGAACCCTGTGTAGGGTTGCTGTAAGTCATAAGCAACTTGATGGCAGTGGGCGTGATTTTGGTTGAATGGAGTTTTTGGATGATGCAACTGGCCAACACACTCAGTTGTTAACCAAAAGTTCTGCAGTTTGAGGTCTTCCAGAGATACCTAGGAAGAAAGACCTGGCAATCTACTTCTGAAGAAGAAACTATTGAAAACTCCATGGACTACAGTTTTATTCTGACACACACAGGTTGTCATGAGTTGGAATCAACTCAAAAGCTAACTGTGTGTGTGTGTGTAGGAAAAAAGTAATACTTACAAGTTTGGTGATGGGGTCTAATGCAATAATGCATCCTGGTCTGGCTGTCGATTGCTGACTTACAATGTTAAACACTTCACCAACGTATTTCTGTTTAAAAAAAGATATCTTCTTTACTATAAACAAATTAATCAGAAACTAATTACATATACCAGGGGCAACCCCAAAAAAGCTGAATTGTGCTAGGGCTCTTGTTTTTTTTATAACACAGTGATATCTCAGTTGTTGAAAGGCTCCAAGCTTAAACCTTGCACTACTCGATCAGCAAAGTTCCAGAAAAATCTACGAGATGTCTGTAATTTTACTGCATACTCTAACTGAAAATTCGACTTGAAAAAACCTGTATGAAGTGAGCCGGAGACACTCTTTGTGTCTTGCCTTGGGCACAAAGGGGTGACGCTTCAGTCTAAGAGCTGCTTTTCCTCTGACAACATATAGTACTTTGTTAGTGCATTAAAACATTCATCATTGCGCTTTATTTGCATAAAATATTATGATGTTATTTACTGTATTTTTCGATGAGATGTTTTAGGGAGCATTTCCACAACCTAAGGTTGTTAAGTTTGTGTTAAAGTCCTGGAAAAATGAATTTATCCAGGTAAATTTGGAGGCCTCAGAACCTATTACTTAGTTTTCCATTATTTTTTATGGGGAAAGTATGTTCCGTCTTTAAACTTTTCGGTGTTTGAAAACAACTTTGGAATGAAGTGAGTCTGACAACAGAGGTATCACTGTATGTCAAACATGCTGACATCAGGGACTTTGCATTCGTTTAGAGAAATACTTTTTCTCTAAAGATCACAAAGCAGTCTTGGTTGTGCAATGGTTCAACACATGGCTGTTAACCAAAATATCGGCAATTCAAGGCATCAGTGGTTATATGGGTGCAGATCTCTTCCATAAATATTAAAGTCCATGAAGCCAACAATTATAAATCAAATGCCTAAAAACATTATATACTTAACAGTTTACAAAGCATTTACTTACAGAAATTTCTGGATTAGATAGCTCATATAAAAGTTTCTTGGCATCGATAACTGCTTCATATAATCTCAGATATTGTCCATCACTTGCTACAAAGCATGCACTAGGAGAGTTGCAGTATGCCCCTAGAAAGGATTTACAAACATTTACAATTTAACCACTTAGGAATAGTGTATTTAAAAATTAAATTTCTTAAATACTAATTTAAAAAAAGCTTACCTAGACAGTAACTGGGTATAAGAGTAGGCAGCCATGCCACATTGGAAAAGGCAGAAACATGAAGAGAATTAATCCGGGCAAGCTCAGAAACACCTCCAGAAAAAGACAATGGCCCAACTGGATCAACCCTCCAGAGAATAAGCTCACTATAAACTGCATTAGGATCCTGAAATACCACATCAGTGGTGCTTTTATTCTGTTGCCCCAAAGAACAATCTTCAACATAGACAATATCATCAGGTTGCTTTTGGCTGTCGACATCTGGTGTCCTTAATGCATTATGGTGTGATGTAGTCAGCAATAATGGTAATACTGAGTGGCAAGCTAAATCATTAAGATGAAAGCGATGTCCACAATATCTGGATTTGTGGGAAATACTGAGAACTGTAGAAAAAGCAGATTCTTCGGCAAAACTGACCAGCCACTGATTGAGAGAGCCATCAGCGTGCTTTGAAATCATCATAACGTTCGGGGTGAAAATACTTAATTTTAAACTGTTAGCTGATTTACTGTGACCAGAAGAGATTAGCATTGATGTGGAATGTGTGAGACTTGAAGGCTTTTGTTTGCCTTGCAGAATAGCCAAGTCGACATTCTTTGTACAGGCATACATCACTATGCTTTTACAGAGAGAGTTGGCATCACCGGTGGGGAAGGCTACAGGAATTCTGGAAACAAAGGACACCTAGAATTAAGAGAGCAAGTATTAGAACATATGAAATTGCATAAAGTAAGTACTATGAAGTAGTGCCTTTAACAAGTAATTATATTTAACATTTAACAAGTAATTATACAGAGATCAGAGTAATAGTACCTGCACTTGACGAAACATACCAGGCTGGTATTCATCCAGCCAATCCACATGCCAAACAAGCAAAGAACCATCCACAGGATGAATACTGAAGAGCATGTCTGCATTTTTACTCCATTCAGCCAGAAGCACTTCAATTTGATGATCGATGGCAGCTGATGGTAATGGTACAAAGCTGGAGTTTGGTTCTATTTTATTACTGCTCAATTCCTTCTTTTCGTGATTAATTTTCAGATTGTCAACACCATCATCCATTTCTGTAAGGAAAAGGATGATGAAACAAGCAAATAGAATCAATTTAATATGTGAAGTTATGAAGCATCTTCAGAAATGCACTTGAAATGAAAAGTAACAACTTTCATATTAAGAAGATGCTCCCTTTTAAAAATAATTCTATGTCAGTTGATTGCAGTTGACTCAGTAATTCTAGAGATGGTTTTATAGGACTTAGCAGACTAGCAGTAAAACAAACAATACTGGACTTGAAAAATAAATTAAGTGGTTTCTAAGCCATGTCCCAAAATTAACCATTCAGCTAACTTTCAGTATGACATGGCACTTCTTCGGACCTCCGATTTGCTTACAATGAAATGAAAGAATGAAAATTGCGTTTATAAATCCTGGATTGAAAGTTCACAATATATAATTGGGATATAATGTTATTCTTTTTTTCCTAATTCTGTATTTATCCAAATCTGAGTTTGCTATTATGCTTTAGATGTAAGAATTTATAATTGATATGACATCTTAAAGGAATAGAGTTACAGCGCTCAATTGCCAGATACCTCAAGACATATAGTTAAAAATAAATTTGTGGACAAAGAAACACAGGTAAATATTTATATCCTGACCTCTATTTTTAAAAATTCCAGTCACCATCTCCTGTGATGAATATTCAACCTTCCTTAAAAGAGATGCTTTAAAATTTTTTAACTATTGAAAAGGTAAATATGAAACAGTTAAGTTATCTGAAGGAGAAAACAACGGGACCGACAGTTCCGGGGGAACATGGGAGAGGGGGAGGTGGGGGCAAAGGAAGTGGTGTTAACAAACCCAGGGACAAGGGTACAACAAGTGATCCAAATTGGTGGTGAGGTGGGTATGGGAGGCCTGGTAGGGCATAATCAAGGGTAATGTAACAAAGAGGAACTGCTGAAACCCTGGTGAGGACTGAGCATGATAGTGGGACAGGAGGAAAGTCAA